ATGAAAGACCTCCATGAACCCTGGCTATCAAAAGCCCTGCAGATTCAGGGCTGTGGTTTCCTTGGCAATGTTTTTTGTAATGCCATCTTCCTACTACCTTCAGCTTTATCGAGCATTAGTATCCTTACACAATATAAAAACCATATACTACTGAAATGTACTGTATTGCACCTTTTCCACATTGCCTCTATATCCCAGTGTCTGCTTATCCCAGATTATCTGGCAGTGGAAACTCATATAATTCAGTGTAAAGCAGATCATCTGGGATCGGATCCTGAGATATAGGACAGTGTTTAGTGAACATACATGCAAGGTACTTTCTTTGAGGAAAGATCTATAGGATCAAATCTGAGCTCTCTCTTTAGATCGGGGTGGGGAGCATTTGTCATGCCTGTACAATTCAACAGGGACCACACTGGCGTTTCTGATATGATTGGATGTGACATTATGTCACCAAAGGTCTTTCCGGTCCAAAGCCAAAGATGTCACCATGTTTGTGGAGAAATTATTTGGTTTTGGGATTTAGATCCCACCGCCCCTGTTATCTGTGGATCTTGAGAAGTGTTAGAGGTAAAACTATAACATTTTATAAGGATTTGATCTATTGGGGGAAATCACATATAGAACATTTTGTGAAGACCTAGGTCCTGGATGGGGGCTGCAAAATAGAGCCCACACACTTTCCTTGCTCCTGTTTTAAATCTGATTGACGTTAATTAATTATCCCTAACATTTTTTTTTTAAAAAAATGAAAACCAGTTTTTCATATAATTTAACAGCTTGAGACCAAATATACAACTGGCTGCATGGTACACCCTCCTAAAGGGCCTGGTCTAGGGAATGCTGAGAGCCGTAGTCCGGAAGAGAGAGAATTTGCTATTGTGTGTTTTGTTTGCCGGGGGGGAGGGTTTTGCGCATGTGCTGTAGCATCTTTTTTTGTTTTGTTTAAGTCTCTTCCACTGTGTTTTTCAGTGTTTTTATGAGATTTTTTCACTTGTTGGCCTGATAGATGTATTGTGTCCAAATTTGGTGTCAGTTCATCCAATGGTTTTTGAGTTCTGTTAATCCCACAAACGAACATTACATTTTTATTTATATAGATTGATAAACAAAGTACCTATATGCTGAATACATGAGATTTGGGAGTAATGCAACTGTGTTACTTTTAAAGAAGTCGACTTATTTTTTTCTCTTGAGAGCATGATTTAAAGGCAAATATATTTTAAGGGAGAGTAGATCTTTTTGGGCAACTAAAAGGAACATTTCTGAAACTCTGCTATATCTATATCTATATCTATATCTATATCTATATGAGATAGTGAATGCCATTTCCCCCAAAGGTTATGACTCTAGCAGGTCATGCCATAGAGGTTATGGCATCATTTTTTCTAACTAAGTCATCTCTTTCCAAAGACCATAAAATCTCCCAAAGGTACTGGAGATTTCCATTTTCCAAAAAGCAGTTCAAACAATGTTTAATACTGGACAATATAGCTTATTATTTTGCTTTTATTACTTTTGCTGATATAGCATGCTCTTTTGCTTTTACTGAGTCATATTTCTCAGTAATTAAAGTATTCGGTATCTCAAAATATATTGAAACAATAAAGATAACCCAAATTTGTTTAGGGTGCACGTTATAGAAAAAAATCCCAAATAAAAGCTCAACACAAAAATTCTGCCATTATCTGAATGTCATACTTTATACAAATCATTCTGGAAGGCACTTTTCAGTCCCAGAAAGCTTGACTTTTTGCACACCCACCATGAGATATTTATAGATCACAAATTACTTTTAAAAAAAACCTTTTCATTCAAAGTATTCCAATTAGGAACCACAGAACTGCAGGAAAAAATCTCCTTTGAAGGTCTGGATCCAGAAAAGTTTAGCAAATTTGTTACTGTTGCACTTGATGAAATATACTTTTTCTTGTCAGATCTGTAAAGGTAAAGTCACTTGACGTTTCATATGACCTTTTTGGAGCTACTTCTATTTAAATGAGAATTTCCAGCCCACTTCTTTCTGGCAAAGATGAAATGCTATAACTGCTGAGTGAAAAAGATTGCCAGGTAGTGCCACAAACCCTTTCTCTCTCCCTCTCTTTCTCCCTTATAAATAATTTATACAGTCTGTTGAACAGAACAGAAGGAGCTTCACACATATTCCAATTTAGCGTCATTCTCTAGACTGACACAAAGTTTCTTGACTTCTGAAATATCCCATAGCTAATTCAGTTATTTTGCAAAACTTGTGTCAATATACACCACCTCAAAAAAAAAAATCTAAATCAAGCCCAATATCAAGAAACTGATGTACTAAACCAAAGGCCTTTCTGGATCAGGATCTATCTCCAAAAGTGTCATGCTTATAGAAGAATCATTGTACTATTAGATCTGTAACACAAAGACAAAAAACAAAAATAGTTGTGGATGAGATGACATCCATTCTGTTTCTTGCATTTGTTGTTGTGTGTCTTCAAGTTGGTGGCCCTAAAGCGAACCTGTCACAAGGTTGTCTTGGCAAGATTTTTAAAGAGGGTATTTGTCATTTTTAAGAGTGTGATTTGCTGAAGTTCACGAGCAGATCTTGTTGGTTGTTGTGGGTTTTTCAGGCTGTATGGCCATGTTCTAGAAGCATTCTCTCCTGACGTTTCGCCTGCATCTATGACAGGCATCCTCAGAGGTTGTGAGGTCTGTTGGAAAAAAATATGGGAGACTGGTAAGACATACATATGAGGGACTGGGGAAAGAGATTTTGGCATCTTCATATGCCTTGCAAAAGCAGAATGTATTACTTTCAAGTAAGCAAAATATACAGTTTAGTATAATCTCTGCAGATCTCATCTGGTTTTGGCACAAAAGCTTTCTTCCTCTGGTTGTTTACTGGAAAACATATGCCACACTGCTTATTATTATTCTTTGTTAAAAAAAGAAAAGTAGGATCCCTTGCAAATTGAACTGAACTAAAGTGTTTGCTCACCACTGGCATTAGAGCATTAGTAGAAATAAATTATCCATATGTTGCTTAAGTTTCTATAGTTGTGTTAAGCAGCAAGTATATTTTCCTTCTCTTTGTCTTGTGGGTTACAGCATCTCATTTATTTCAAGAATATTGGCTGCTGGTTGAGGTTGGGACAAAGGACATTACATTAAAGAGCATTGTGGAAGTAGGATAAATAATCTTAGAGATACCCGCAGTCATTCATTCTTGGCTAGTTCTGTGAAGCTAGTATCTGGATAACTACAGCCCTTTCTACACTGTCCTTATATCCCAGGATCTGATCCCAGATTATCTGCTTTGTACTGGATTATATGAGCCTCCACTGCCATATAATCTGAGAAAAGCAGATAATCTGGGATCAGATCCTGGGATATAGGTCAGTGTAGAAGGGGCCTACATTTTATTTTATCATGTCTCTAAGTTTAAATCAATTCATTAATTGTTTAAACACTTTAAATTGCTATTTGACCTATCAAATATTTGTAAAATAGAATAATAGAACCATAGAGTTGGAAGAGACCTCATGGGCCATCCAGTCCAACCCCCTGCCAAGAACGAGGAAAATTGCATTCAAAGCACTCCTGACAGATGGCCATCCAACCTCTGTTTAAAAGCCTCAAAAGTAGGAGCCTCCACCATACTCCAGGGCAGAGAGTTCCACTGCTGAATAGATCTCACAGTCAGGAAGTTCTTCCTAATGTTCAGATGGAATCTCCTTTCTTGTAATTTGAAGCCATTGTTCTGCGTTCTAGTCTCCAGGGCAGCAGAAAACAAGCTTGCCCCCTCCTCCCTGTGACTTCCTCTTACATATTTATACATGGTTATCATGTCTCCTCTCAGCCTTCTCTTCTTCAGGCTAAACATGCCCAGCTCTTTAAGATGCTCCTCATAGGACTTGTTCTTCAGACCCTTGATAATTTTAGTCACCCTCCTCTGGACACATTCCAGCTTGTCAATATCCCTCTTCAATTGTGGTGCCTAGAATTGGACACAGTATTCCAGGTGTGGTCCAATCAAGACAGACTTCCCTGGATCTATAGTTTAACTAGTTATTTAACCTAACAATAACAATAAAACTATATATATATATATATATATATCTCCCCGAAGGAACTCAGTACAGTTTCCAAACATAAAAAGCAAACATTCAGTGCCTGAACATAGTAACAATACACCCATAATAATGAAAATTGACAACCAAACATATAAAAGCAAATTATAACTTAACAACTAAAATTAAATGAAAAATGCAACCTATTATATCAGACATGAAACAAAACAAACATCAAACAGAACCTGGTATACTTTGGTTATTTGAACCAGAGCCACCAAGTGTGCATAATATTGTTTGTGGATGATGGGAATCATATTCCCATATATCGGGGAGTTTGGTTTGAATACCCCCCCCCCTTTCTCATTAGACAAAAAACTAAAGAGTATGATTTTGATTAGGAAAATAAGGCCAGGAGAGGACTGATAACTTCAATTTCTGAAGTATTGTTTGGTCTATTAAAAGAAATAGCAGCCTCTTCACAGCTGCATTATACCAAACAGTTGAGAAATGCAATAACAAAATTCTCACTTTTTCATAAAGTCTTTTTCTGAAAGTACTAGTGAGAGATGTTAACTGAGTGATTTAATTTATGTTGCCTTGTTTTGCAGCGCATGGATTTGGGGACTAAATATTCACAAAGCAGCATACATGTAAATAAATAATATAGGATAAATTATGAGGTGGTGCTATGAATTAATACCTTGTATTGTCAAAGGCTTTCATGGCTGGAATCACCGTACCGGAACATGGCCATATAGCCCGGAAAAACCTACAACAACCCAATTAATACCTTTTCAGGATACATATGAAAGAAGACTCATGCTCTTTTATATGCAAGTCTTGTTTTAATATTGATCACCTCCTTTTTATATCACCAAGCAGTATACTTAAAATCATTCAGTTTATGATGTTCTTTTTACTTTGTGTGTGTGTGTGTCATCACAGGCCTGGCCAAAGAACCGTAGATGACCTAGAGATTATATATGAAGAGCTTCTGCACATAAAGGCTTTATCTCATCTTTCAACAACGGTAAGCCATCTATATAAGATTTATTTTCAGATAAAATAAATAAGTAGATCTGACCTGACTTCTGGCTACTTCTGAATATAGGAGTACCGTGGTGATATCTACCCTACCTTATGCTGTGCTGGCCTCTTTGCCCTCGGGTTTTATTTCCATCTTATTATCAAACTTGCAAGTCATTCATTATTTCTTGGAAGAAATTGTGGTTCTATAAAATTTGTTATCTGGAACTTTCAGCTAAAATCGCACAACGCATTTCCCGGAGGCCTGTTTTCTGAGTAATTTTCCCTCTTTCAGTTCACACTAAATATAACAATGAATGAACCTTCCTGAAGGTCCTGTGTTCTTTTATGGTGGATTTAGTAACTGGTGCCTTGTTTTAGTACACCTTCCACCCTTTCCTTTCACTCTGCTTTTGATGTGGTTACATGCAACCACACACAATATGGATGCCAACAATTATTATATTTACTCTTTGTCTTCCTTCAAGGTAAAACGGGAGTTAGCAGGCGTTCTAGTGTTTGAATCACACCCCAAAGCAGGAACAGTCTGTAAGTAAAATCGATTTTTAAAATAATGTTATACTTATGTATAGGACTGAGGTAAAAACTTATTGCATTTTGCCTGATAATTCTGAATGAGAGAAAAAAAATAGAAATATTATTAGGAAAATTGGGAGATCTGATGTAGAATTTGAAATGTATGCATGGAAAAGAAACAATGGGTTGATATTTCTAATTTTGTCCAGGGAGAAATTGGAAATGTGTTGGAAATTCTTAATTTCCATATTTTTATCCTTCCATATTTGTTCAGAAGTCCTAGTGATCTTAATGGCCTTTGCTTTTCAATAAATTTACATGCAATATAATGCACTTGTTGTAGAACAGGTTGTCTTTTCAAATTGTTGATAGGAGATACAAATTTAAGTGGTTCCTGTGCAACAACAGCAAAAATAGAACTTTTTAAATGCGGAGAAAACAATGCCACTTCTCTACTGTCATATAATCCATATTATCAGAGGAGAGTATCTGCTTTGAACTGGATTATATGAGTCTACACTGCCATATAATCCAGTTCAAACAAATAATCTGGATTTTACATGGCAGTGTAGAAGGAGCTTCATACCGTAGGGAGAGAGGTTCTAACTCCTCCCTGGTATACTAATTGCATTTCTTGTGGGTGTAGTTGTTGTGTGCCTTCACGTCAATCTTTATTTATACGGACCCTGTCATAGGTTTTTCATAGGGCAAAATTGGCTTCCTCTTAAGATGAGAAAATGTGCCTTGTCCAGTGGCTTTTTATGGCTGAGCTGGGATCTAAAACTTAACTACTATGCTGTGGAATCACTGCTATAGTATTAAACCATAGCAGTTAAACTGGGATCAAACAGCATTTTTTCTACAGTGTAGATGCACCCTTTAGTTTCTAGGAGTCCTACATCAGAACCCCAACAACTATACAGACAGCCCTCAAGTTACGAATTAGATAGATTGGGTAGGTTTGTTCTTAAATTGAACTTGTATGTAAGTCAGAGTAGGTACATTTTTAAGTGTAACTCCAGCCAAATATATATCTTTTAAAGATTTGAATAGCATAGGGAAGGGATGACACCCCTGTGGTGTTTGGTTCGTACCCCTATTCAGAAGATTTCGTTTCTGTCCCTGTGATAATTGGATTTTGCAAAATTTGGGTTGTTGTGGAAACAAGGACTGGTGAGCAAGCTTCAGTGGAGACTCCTTTTTCCCATGATAACTTGTAGGGCTGGGTAACCATGGAAAAATTTGTTTCTAAACTCGAGTCGTTTTTAGGGGGTTTTTGCGTTTCGTTTTTTAAAAGAATTCCGAAATTTTCCTTTAAAAAAGTTCGAAATATACGAAATTTTGTAAAATTACGAAACAATTACGAAACGATTTCGAAACAATTACGAATCGATTCGTTAATGGCGGACGCGATTGTGCAATATGCTAATAAAAACCCCTCCAAATGGGACAGGGGGAACTTCTGAAGCTTCCCTCTCCCTCTCCCTAATATCAATCTTAGGTCTAGGTGTGATAATTTATTTTTTATCACTGATAAAACAAACAACAACCCTAAAACTTGCACCAGACATACGGAAATAATTACGAAACAGTTACGAAACGATTTCGAAACAATTATGAAACAATTACGAAATAAATTGAAAAAATTCGTTTCGATTTTTAATTACTCCTGCATGGCTCAATATCGGATCGTAAGCTAATTTAAATACGAATTAATAACGAATTACGAAATTAACGAACGAAACCGCCCAACCCTAATAACTTGCCCTTCCAGGGGGTAGATTTCTCTCCCTGTTGCTTCACCCCCTTTCTTAACTATGAATGGCTTGTAAGTAGGATGTTTGTAACTCAGGGACTGCCTGTGCCACACTAGCTCCATGAGCCAGGAATATTAGAAATTGTGTGTTCATCCATTGTTATTTTATTGAACACTGCCCTGAGACCTGATAATAAGTGGGATTCAAATATTTAAATAAATCAGTAGATAAATATTAAATGTTCATTAAATTTTCACTGTGCCTTCATTTTTTCCCCTCCCCTGGTATTCTGTAGTGTTTAATCAGGGAGAAGAAGGAACCTCATGGTACATTATTCTAAAGGGATCAGTAAATGTAGTCATCTATGGCAAGGTACTGTCTTCTTTATATTTTATATTTCTTTGATTGTACAGTACAATATATGTATGTGGATGTATGCACACTGTACTCTACCACAACTTGTTCAATTTAAATCAAGATGACCTGAGCCTTAGAAGCCACAGCAATGGTAGAAGATGCTTTGTATGTGGAAAATCCCATGGGCAGCCCCTTGGTACTTCAAATTAAAAGGGACATCCTGGTGCCCTGGGAATCCAGTTTCTGAATCCAGATTATCTGCTTTGATCTGAATTGTATGAGACTGGTTCTACACTGCCCTATCTCTCATATAATCCAGTTCAAAGCAAATAATCTGCTATCAGATCCTGGTATATACGGATGAGTAGATCCAGCCAAAGAATTGTGTAATATGTTTTGTTGCAAAATGTTAAGGACTACAGCCCATTTCACCAGATGCATCTTTAAAACCCTTTACTGTATCTAACTTTATTGCTTACAGAAAAACCTTAAAAGACAAGATAGAAGAAATATACCTAAAATAAGTAAAATATTTTGTTTAGTGTTGAGAAATAATAATAATAATAATAATAATAATAATAATAATAATAATAATAATAAATCAGACTGACAGAGTTTTGGAGCACAATACTCCTGACCTCACGAGCATGTTAAAAAGCAAAGTATGTATAGTCGATGTTGCAATCCCAGGCGATAACAAGATTGAAGAGAAACAACAGGAAAAGCTGAAACGATATGAGGATTTAAAGATTGAATTGCAAAGACTGGCACAAGCCAGTAAAGGTGGTCCCAGTGGTGATCGGCACACTGGGTGCAGTGCCTACAGACCTTGGCCTGTACTTAAACACAATCGGTGCTGACAAAATTACCATCTGCCAGCTGCAGAAGGCCATCTTGCTGGGATCTGCACTCATTATTCACCGATACATCACACAGTCCTAGACACTTGGGAAGTGTCCGACGTGTGATCCAATACAACAGCCAGCAGAGTGATCTTATCTGCTGTAGACTCATCTTGTTGTGTTTCAAATAATAATAATAACTTTATTATTATATCCCGCCACCATCTCCCCGAAGGGACTCAGGGCGGCTTACATGGGAACCATGCCCAACATAGACAAAATTACAAGGTAAATGCAATTAAAAACATATAACAGATAAACAGCATAAACAATTAAAACCAGAAATGGCTAGTTTCTATAAATTCATCTGAATGAGACATGAATTAAATCCGTAGTCTGATAAATAGGCCAACATACACATCAGGGACTGGCAGTTGCTCATAAATGCCTGTTATTCAACCAAATTGATTTTTTAAAATATTGACTGATAAACAAACACTGAAAAAATAGAAACTTGGCTTCATTAGTGGAGCCAGACATTTGTCTGTCTTTGCATCAAACTTCATAGAACAAATCCTATTATTTCTTTGCCTGTGTTTTTCTGTAGCATTAGTAATAACCAGCTGCCATGTATTGTTATCCCACCATTATTTGAACTGTTGAGTTTCTGCCAGATGCATTTATTATAGTATTTGGCATCAAAATCCAGTGTTTACAAATTGGAGTGTCAATGCAACAAACTCTTAATGGTGATTTCGCTGTTGTTGGTTATTGTTTCTTTCAGGGTGTGGTGTGTACTCTACATGAAGGTGATGATTTTGGCAAGTTGGCATTAGTGAATGATGCTCCAAGAGCAGCTTCCATTGTCCTAAGAGAAGACAACTGCCATTTCTTGAGAGTGGACAAGGAAGACTTTAACAGGATACTCCGGGTAAGTCAGCTGGGAAGGCACCTATCCATGTGCATCACTGAAAAGCTCATCCCGAAGTGCAGGACTGGGGAGACGGTGGCATTTCCAAATGTTGTTCAGTTCCAATTCCCACTAACCCTGGCCATCCTAGCCAATGGGGAAAAATTGAAACCCAGTTTTGAACCCTGAAAATAAAAATCTGAAAAGAAACAATCATTGCCCTTTGAGCCCTGATAAAAAAAGATGAGTATAACAGCTTGGTCTCAATGTAGGAAACTGAATATATAGGAAAACAAATCACACATGCTAGGAAGATTGTGAAAAAATATTTTTGTGGAATTTAAGCAGCCTAACTGACTGCAAGGAAGCTAAACCAGGCATTGGCAAACTTCGACCCCCGTGATGTGACTTCAACTCCCACAATTCCTATAACAGCCTACCAAAAATACCTGGAGGGGTGAAGTTTGCCTATGCCTAGGCTAAACCCTACATGCACCAAATCCTTTCTGATCTTGAGAGCTAAGCAGGGTAAATTCTGGTTAGTATTTGAATGGGATGCCACCAATGAATACCATATATTTCAGAGGAGAAATTGGCAAACCACCTTTGAGGCCCCTTCCACATTTCCATATGATCCATTATCAAAGCAGATAGTCCTATTATCTGCTTTGAATTGAATAATATGAGTCTACACTTCCATATAATCCATTTCAAAGCAGATGATCTGGATTTTATATGGGACTGTAGAAGGAGCCTGAATTTTCTTGCCTAAGAAAACCCTATGAAATTCATAAAGTTGCACATACACAGAATTGAACACAGTATTGTGGTCCATGGTTTTGACTCAAGGAAGATTAGTGACAGCCATTTAAATCCATGAATTAAGTTAGTTCCAAATTGTGATGGACTTATCTATTAATGCCAATGGGTTGAAAATACACCCCTTTCTCCAAATTGGGACACATATCTCTCCTCAACATAGTAATATAAAAGCATGGCCTTTCAGAGTTCCCTCAGTGTTGGAAAGCCTTATGTATTTCATTGCTTTGGGTCCTAGCAAATGCTTCTTCTATGACAATGTCCCTTCAGCAGAGTTTTGTTCAAAAGTCACTCTCACTGAAATAACTATAGAAGGGGAGAAGCTTTTTGCCAATCCTCCATTCTAAATGAGATGTAGAGAAGGAAATTTGTGGGAAATTGCTTCTCCCTCCATAACTTCTTCCAATGGAAGCATCATCTTGACTGTAGTCAAGATAAAAGTAGATCTTCCATATATGGAGCATTAGATAAGTCCAATGGTTCAAGCCATTGTTTCAGAATTTGTTTGTATCTACTGCATTAATTATTCAAATTGGCTTTCAGGATGTTGAAGCAAACACAGTGCGACTTAAGGAGCACGAGCAGGATGTCTTGGTGCTAGAGAAGATCCCAGCAGGAAGCAGAACTTCTAATCAAGGAAATGCTCAGCCCAAGTATGTTTTCCTTCTACAACACTCAAGCTAGGCTATGATTAATGTTTGATTTTCGGTAACAGATTGTGTGTTTTTTCTCTCCATGAAGGAATTCAGTATACCACATTAGAAAATATGTGATCTGCTAGTCAAAATTGATGCAAGTTACAAGCCTTGGAACTTTCAAACACATTAACTTTAATGTTTCCACAGTCTATTCTATATGAGGTTCAAATCTCCACTTGAGCATGGAAACACATTGCATGACCTTGTGCAAGTCAAATTTTCTCAGCCTAAAAAGAAGGCAAGGGCAACCTTTCCCCTTGAATAAATCTTGTCATCATAAGATTCGCTTAGGGTTGGGGCCCCCGGTGGCACAGTGAGTTAAAGCATTGAGCTGCTGAACTTGTTGACCGAAAGGTCGCAGAATCAAATTCGGGGAGCGGCGTGAGCTCCTGCTGTCAGCTCCAGCTCCTGCCAACCTAGCAGTTTGAAAACATGCAAATGTGAGCAGATCAATAGGTGCCGCTCCATCGGGAAGGTAACGGCACTCCATGCAGTCATGCCGGCAACATGACCATGGAGGTGTCTATGGATAACACCGGCTCTTCAGCTTAGAATGGAGATGAGCACCAACCCCCAGAATCAGACATGATTGCACTTAATGTCAGGGGAAAACCTTTACTTTTACTAGGGTTGTTGTAAATCGGAGAAGACTTGATAGACCACAACAGTACATTTTCCTTTGCTTTTGGTCCACTTAAATTACTTAACATATAATACATCCTAATTTTCTCCAGATCTGAGGGGGAAATCACAGCAAGAGAGTGTGCCCACACAGGAGTTTTCCCTGATTGCCATTGTGCTGCTTCTTTCATGGAACCACACTTCAGTTGTCCTGAATATAACAAGCACTGGCATCTCTCTTAGACTGCTGGTAGGGAATCAAGTTCCCAGTTTTGTGAGAAATTCCACTCCATCCTCCTTCAACTACATCTAACTGAAGGAGTCCCCTCCATCTCTCATTCTTCTTTCTCCGAGGTTCCGGGGATGAAGGATAGTTCTTTTCTTTACTATTTTATTCATGTGGACATTGGAGCTAATACTAGCCTCATGATTTCCTTTGTCCTTGATCTTAATCAATCTTCATCGCAATCTGGGATTCGACTGCACACCTTAGATAGCCTAAGGATCTATTTCCTGTACGACAGATTATTCTTCCAAAGTGCAATGCATAAAGAAAAATAGATTGAAAGAATAGATTGAATTGCTTCATAGTGTTTGAAGATTCAGAGCTGTCCATCATTTGGTTCCCCAAACTCTGCAGACTATGCCATCCATTTCCCCAAAGATTCTACAAGTGGTCATATATTATGTTTTTGTGTTTAAACCCCTCTCTTGTTAGATTTTCCAATCCAGACTTCTTCACAGATACTATAAACTTGATCGATAGCTCTTTGATTCTTTGCAAATGCCATCTGTCCTGATTTCTCTATTTTCATTCTTCAAGTTACAGACAGTCCCCAAGTTACGAACAAGATAGGTTCTGTAGAATTGTTTTTAAGTTGGATTTGTTTGTAAGCTGGAACAGGTTAATTTTTAAGTGTCACTCCATCTGTCTGTCTGTCTGTCTGTCTATCTATCTATCTATCTATCTATCTATATCTATCTATAGATGAATGTCACTGTGATAATCAGATTTTGAAAAATTTGCCTTGTGGAAACAAGGGTTAGTCAGAAAGCTTCAGTGGAGACTCCTTTTCCCCATGATAACTCTTTCAGGTGTGGATTTCCCTTCTGAGGGATAGATTCCTCTCACTTCCGGTTGTCTCACCCCATGTTCTTAGCTATGAGTCGTTTGTAAGTCAAATGTTTGCAGCTCGGGGACTGCCTGTATTTGGAGAAAGTGCCTTACACTTTATTAAGCATTTTTATCTCTTCTAATGAGTCGTGTCTTCTTACGGTATATCCAAAGTACCACATAATTGGTTTAGTTATCTTGGCTTCTATGGAAATGTTAGGCTTAGTTTGATTTTTGACATCAACATCATCATTATTGCAAGGCCATGGTACCTGTAGAAGTCTCTGTCACCATCATATTTCAAATGATGTATCTACTCCCAGTTCATGTTTGTTTTCAAGCAGATCAATATGCTTCCTATTATCTTTGATCTCTCCATTTTTATTTTATACATTGTACATTCAGGTCCTGAATACCACAACCCACTTTCTTCTTTAGTCTCACTGTCATGGCCCTTGTTGGCTTATCTGTCATTTAGCATGGCACTCACATGATTTTTTCAATGTCAACTTTCCAGGAACAGACTAAACATAAGGCAACCTTATAATGTAATGTATTTTTCCCACAGGTTTTCTCCCATGTGCTAAACGGAATATGTACATTCATGTGCAGTGCATCTCATCCAGATTGGGCTTATTCCTTTGGATATTCTAGTTCTCATCCAGTTAGAAACAGATTTTTTGTATCACCCCATATTCCACTGCCGGATTAGATAGAACTTGAATTGAATGTGTGGGTGGACTTAATATCCTTTTATCATTTACCCATACTCAGTATGGAATCTCTGAAATCCACCTTAATTTCCATTTTCATAGTACAAAATTATATTGATTCTGTATCAAGAAATGTTATGGCTTTCTCTTAATTACAGTGCTGAGAATTCTGTTTGAGATTTGAAGCCTTCTCCTGGCAAACCTATCATACCCAAGGCTCCCTGGCTCTTAAACAGGCTTCATTGTATTATCTTGATACATTCTCACACCCAAAATGCTCAGCACAGAAAACATGAAGAAATAAAGAAGGCAAAAAGACATAATCAAACGACCTTTCATTCACCAGCTGTCCTTACCATGTATCATCCACATGGGATGTGGAAAGGGTTTCTTTTGGACTACAGTGGCCAGAATTAGCCCTGCTAGTGTAGGATTCTGGGAGTTGTAATCCAAGAAGGTAACTCACCCTTTCCCCCAGTTTTGATTTATATAAACATCACAACACATGGGACATGTGCTAGCTTCTTTTATTTTGGAAATAGTAAAAGATCAGGGAAGTCTCAACTTAGCAACACATGGCCTGAATAAAAAAATGGAGGTCACTCCTTGGTCTCATCTCATTTCACCATCTCTGCTGAGCCCCATCGTAAAGAGATGTTGTTGGAAGAGTTAACTAAAGATTTGTGCACCAACTACCTCTTCATGGGCATTCACAACCTCTCTCTTAACTGACTGATCTCTTGCTGAGTACAGCTTCCAACTAGTCTTCAGGCACTGCACACCACTTCCACTATTTCATTTTTACTTTCATATTCAAAGTACAGCAAACCCAACTCTCTCTGTCTCTTCCCCCCTCTCCCCACCGACTTTCTGTGCTTTACTCCCCAAGATACCCAGTTAGTCTCTTTGCAAGGATGATCACTTGGCTTAACAAGGGTTTGCGTTCTTGGGACATCAATACAGCTCTTCCCAAAGGGCTGGCAGGGAAGAGAACTGTGTGATGGCCACAGCTCAAAGTACGGAGAAGCTCCCAGGAGCTCAGTTCCATTACTTATTTCTCAGCAGGCACTTTTTTCTTTCTTTTTTTGGAGGTAGGGGGAGATTTCCCATTCTTTGCCTTTCTGCTTGAATACACTGAAATGATGCAAAATTGTAAGAACTAAATGGTATATTAAAAGAAACTGATTTACTAGGAAAGGTAATAGGAGAGCTTGATGGACGTTCCTATTTCTCAATATCACCTGAACTGTGGCAGTTCCATCCTCAAATTAGAAGGTTGCCAGGTGTGGACAAGCCCCCAACAGTGACTTTTTTTTTTTAGAAAAAGTTTGGCTAAAAATTCAGAGAGGAAGCTAGAAGGTATGGCTTGTAGGTATCCTGTTCCATAACTCAGAACAATTTTGGTCATTATATTAATCCTTTTCAACATTTTTGTTTTTGTATTCTCAGTCAGGGAGTCAGTTTACTTGGTCCTACCATAAATCATAATTTGCCTATTGCCTCTTCTTTCTGAATTCGCTCCATGGTGAAATCAGATATAAGAGATAATAAGCAAATATGCTGATAAGAAAAATGGACAGAGAATCAAAAGCAAACTGTATGAAACATCTCAAGAAGACTTAGTGGTTCTCAACCTGTGGGTCCCTAGGTGTTTTCGCCTACAACTCCCAGAAATCCCAGCCAGTTTACCAGTTGTTAGGATTTCTGGGAGTTTAAGGCCAAAATATTTGGGGACCCACAGGTTGAGAACCACTGACTTAGTCGCTCAAGTTGTAAGGAATTTTGGCATGCTGACTGTTTATAATCCTAGCTGACTCCAATAATATGGTGGCACAATGGGTTAAACCCTTGTGCCAGCTGGACTGCTGACCTGAAGGTTGGGTTGCTGATCGGAAGGTTGCCGGTTCGAATCCATGAGACAGGATGAGTTCCCGTCTGTCAACTCTAGCTTGGGGGGACATGAGAAGCCTCCCAGCAGGATGGTAACACATCCAGACGTCCCCTGGGTAATGTCTCCATAGACAGCTAATTCTCTTACTCCAGAAGCGACTTGCAGGTCACTTCTGACACAATAAAAAAAGTTATCAAATTGTCAAAATACCTATACAGCCCTTTGTGGGAGGGCTCTGTTTTTAATAATACCACTCAATTGGGCATTGTCTTGTGACAGATATTTGATATCTGTCACAATTTCCCCCATTTCTCTGCTGTCACAAGACAGTTCTCAGTTCAGTGATATTATTAACAAGAGAGCCTACAAAGGGCTGTATAGGTATTGCTGACAATATGATAACTGCCCCCATATTGCTGTGGTCAGTGAGGATTAGAAAAAGAATAGGCTATTTTTCCTATTCTTCTTGACTTGTGTATTAGTTGGTAACAACAGGATCACTCACACATTTATTTATTAGTTTAGAACATTTATATCCCGCCCTATTCTCAACCTCCAAAAAGGGACTCAGGGCAGCTACCAGCAGGCAACAATTCATTGCCAATACAATATAAAAACAGCAATAAAATACACAATTACATAAAATGATTATAAATATACATTAAAAACAGTTCACCAGGTTTAAAACCTCCTCTGAATCAGTTCAAATTACAGTCCATAAAATCTCTGATGATCTATAAGCCGATTCTAAAATGAAAAAAGCTAACCAAACTAAGCAAAGTCTTAAATTGATATGAGTATTATTGATAAAGAAATGCTAATGTAAAGGTATGCTGTATAAAAACACAGCTTGCTTTGTTACGAAGTTTTTTTTAACATTTGTATGCCCTTTTGTTCTTTCATGTAGCTCCAAATAGAATTTACGATTATTAGTTCCCTTTTAATCAGGTACATTGTGATGTCCGGAACGCCAGAGAAAATTTTAGAACATTTCCTAGAAACAATGCGTCTTGAAACAACACTGAGCGATGGAACAGGTAAGGCAGATTTAATACTGGCCTATTTGTAAGGAAAGATTAATAAAAGAAAGGAGTGCTACAGACCTGCATACAAATCTGCTTACTTTCCAGACAGCCAGATCCTCTCCAACTTTTGGGATTGCTTTCAATGGCTGTTGAGCAGCTCCATATCATTCCCTCCACCCCTATCCCTAAAAACCTTGCAGCAGGAACCTGGCAGCTAGATTAGGAAAGTGTCTGGAATTGTTTGGGATGAAGTTTTTAATTTCTCTTAGCAACCATTTATTTTATTTTATATTCAAAAACTGTTCAATGTGATTTGTCTTTGAAATGTATTTTAAAGCAGATTTTTCCAAAACATCTCTGGGAAATATTCCATTTGTTAGTGTATGGCTTGTGATCTCAACCACAAAGTCCTGCTGATCAGTTGTTGAATCGCAAACATCTGTAATCACCAGTTTGCTTGTCTTTCTTCCGTGTAAACTTAAAAGAAAAGACAGTTTGTTGTATGTGGTAGCTAGGAAAACAGTGTTCTGGTTGTAATCTGTTGGATTTAATACACATTCTTCTAAAATATATCTTCATTTATTAGAAAGCAGCAGTGTTTGAGTATGTTGATTTCAGAGAGACTTGTCCAAGCAAAAAGGAATTGTTTTGTTTCCATTTTATTTTATTAGAAACTCAAGGACTTGACTGAAAACACACACTAAATCAAAAGTTCAGTGTTCACATAGGCCAACCAGTTCTTATGGAAAGAGCTCAAACAGGACATGAATGCAAAGCAAGCCTTAGCAGACAGCTAGGATTTGTAGTTTGGTGAGGCACCAGCACAGTTTAGAAGAAACCATGTAAAACTGCAACTCCCATAATTTCATAGCATTGACCAATGGGAGTTAAAGTGCTATCAAAATGCATTCATTCTACAGGCACTTAGTCTGAACTTTAAAGGAGCTCCAAAGACAGTAAATCATTGGCTCCCAACTGGTGGGTTCCCAGGTGTTTTGGCCTACAACTCCCAGAAATCCCAGCCAGTTTCCCAGCTGTTAGGATTTCTGGGAGTTGAAGGCCAAAACATCTGGGGATCCACAGGTTGAAAACCTTCACTAAATAAACCCTTTCCTCCAAAATAGGTTCAGCACCCTAGACAGCTCCTTTAAAATTTAGGTGAACTTCCACATTGAATTCTCTGTCCCATTGATATGCTGACTGCCTGGAAGTAATGACTAGTATCCATTGGTGACCTTATTCTCCATTCTTTTATCCTAAGATTTCCATATTGGTGACCATTACTGCATGTTTAGATAGTGAATTTTGTATTTTAATCATTCACTATGTGAAGAACCACTGGCCATAGTTGGAATTAACTGTTTTGTACACATTCAAAAGACAACACAATGAACTGCGGTTTAAAAAATGGATATAAAGACTTCTTAAAACTTCTTGTTGTCTGCAAGAGAGAGAAAGGATTCAGGCCTAGGAGGGTGGTGGAGGGGATTTTTTACTTATACTTGTTTGTAATCATATTTAATGACCAGAAATATGTCTTATTAAATTAGAATTTTGCACTACTGTATTTGAGAAAGCACTGACATAATAGCTTTCTGGGGAAAGCGTGCAAGCTAATTATTGATTACTATTTTTGATGTTCTTCTCGCAGATACAGGTGTACATGATTTTGTGATGATGCACTGCGTGTTCATGCCAAATAACCAACTATGTCCAGCTTTGATGGCCCAATATCCTTTTTGAAATGGAAAATACCTAAAAAGTACTCTCTCTTTCCAAGAATACCAGTTTACTCAGAAGCAAACACTGTCATTCCTTGGCATATAATTAAATTGAAAATCATTACAGTTGGCTCATTAACTTTGATCAAAAGAAGAGGATTATGCCTGAATCAGATGTGTTCCATAAAGAAACAACAATCTAGTTCATGTATGGGCAATTTAAGGCCTGGGGACTGGATGCCCCCCCCCCCCCCCGGTGCTGAGAGGACAGCCCGGACATGGGCAAACATTTTTGCCTTGTGGCCACATTGTGGGTCTGGCTGAGAGGCCTGGGCTGGGAGGGAGGGTGGCTGGGCTGAGATGTGCCCGGGAGGGGAGGCCTGAGAGAGGGTGGGGCTGGGAGGGGGCGGGGTAGGACTCAGGTCATCCTCAAGTTGTCCTCCTCCTTATGCCAGGAGGAAAATGAGACATGTGGCCCCTGCCCTGATCCTCCTCCACGAATCTCCTCCCTGTGAACTTCAGGGTGTCCTCTCAGCATTATGCCAGGAGGAGAGTAACACAAGTAATAGCCGAAGGTGCTCTGGAGGGCTCTTAGCTGCTGTGTGCCATCCTCAGGCCATCCCTTTGGCATAAGGGCAGGGCTCCTTGCACTATCCTTATGCCAGAAGGAGGGTGAGACATGCAGTGGCTGAGAGCCCTCCAGGGGACTCTCAGCTATTGAATGCCTTCCTTCTGCATCTTTTCTGCATAAGGATGCGGTGGGCCACCACGTCCTTATGCTGAGAAGACAGGGAAAAGCCCTGAAGCAAGCATCCAGAGGGGCGCATCTGGCCCCAGGGCCTTAGTTTGCATATACCTGGGACAAGCCAAAGAATGAGGGGAGGAGGATCATGGAGGTGGATCGGGGCAGTCGTCTCATGTCTCATTTTCCTCCTGGCATTAAGAAGGGGTGTCCTTATGTGAGGAGGACAACTTGAAGGTGATCTGGGTCCTGCCCTGCCCCTTCTGGCCCCACCCTCCCCCAGGCCCTCCCCCTCCTGGGCCCGTTCCACCCAGCATGTGCCCAGCCGCCTTCCCTCCTGTCCCAGCCCAACCCTCTCAGCCATATGCACAATTTGGCCCCAAGACAAAAAAGTTTGCCCATGCCTGATCTAGTTTTATTCTGGCTAATACATTTGAGAATAGGTTTAGCATACTTTTGGGTTATCATGCTGCCTTAATGGAAGAACATAGAACAGTGAGATGGGATGCTTCCCTCATATCATACTCTTTTGCACATAACTTTGAAATGTTACTTCTGTTTCCAAAGGCAGCATGGCTAGTGAATCAGCTGAGTATTGAGTATGCAATTTTTGTCCACATTTTCTATTGTAAAAATGTATTATACACATTTCCCCGTTGTTCAAAAAGTGTGCACATTTTTATTCAGGTACATAGTACAAAAGCCAATCTTGCAAATGTAGGGACTGCCAGGGAAAGATACCTTCCTTTCCATTCCAATTGATATTTCTCATTAAAAAATATGACACCAATTAATTTATTGCCTGTCCCTACTGACTACAGACAATTTTACTGGGGTTTATATTGTATAATGGATTTGTTTCTCTTTCAACCCCATATGTCTCCATGCACAATAAGGTTAAATCTTATAACGTAAAATAATAAGCTTTTGGAACCCACCTGTTTTCAGATTTCTACATCAGCTGGTAAAATCACCCTGGAAACCAGACCTGGCTGAGTTCCATTGTGCTGTCACAATTAGCAAAAAGTAATTTAGAGGTATTGTGATTGCTAGCGAATAAAATGAGAAAAAATGATATAAATGCAGCCCAATTCATTTTATGTATTTCAGTCAAATGAAATCCTTTTTTTCTATCAAAGAATTTTATGAACTGGATTGTTCAGTGTTTGAAGTTTAAAAGTACTTGTTAGTTTCAATCATATTGCATGCTGTGGAATCCATCACACTAGCAAAGAATCCTGTGTAGATTTAAGATTTATATATTTTCCATTTTCTGCTCTTGTAATCTGACCTCTGTTTGATCGCAGCTTCCTGCTTTGATTTTGTAACCTGGGTTTTGAGCCTGTGGCTTCTTTCCCAGTAAAAGGTCTTCTGTTTAGTGTCTGCCCCATTGAGGGTTGTATTCTGCCTCCTCGTTCTGCTCATTGTTTCCTGATAGGTTGTGTACCCCAGTTTCATGGTATACATCTTTTCTCACTGTTTTGATTTTTCCATGCAACTCCTTGCTGTGGAACATACTTGTAGTTGACCCTTCCCAACATACATTTTACTTGGCTCATGCCCTGAGTTCACTCTTGGACCATTGACACTCCTCTCATATATATATTCTTTTGCTCAGTCAGGACTCTTGGTTGTTTGGTGTGCCATTATGGAAACATACACATCAAAAACCTGTGTGAGCAAAAGTCTGAGGAAGTAATGTGTCTCTCTGGTCTCTCTATATTACTGAAAGGAATTTGGCTATTTGGTGTGGATAGCCGGATTATGTCAAGGGAAGAGAGTGTTCCTCCTTTTACTCTGCAAGACCTTAGTGCCCAGATCATTTCATCTAGTTTTAAGTCAAAGGATGAGGAATCTCAGGAGAAGAGCAGGCACTAAGTATCTTTGCTTAGGTTTTGGCCCTGAAATATCAGAGTCTTGGATGCTCCTGGCCTGGCAACCCCATTCCCTTCTTGATGGAGCCTTATCTTCACCCGAACAGATCATGCATCACCAGGAGACCTGACTGTGTTTATGTATTTTACTTTCAGCCTTCCAATGTACTGCCTTTACTTTTTTTCTGATATCATCCAGCRTTAAGATTACCAGTTCATGTCTTTTAATATGTATGTATGTATGTATGTATGTATGTATGTATGTATGTATGTATGAATGAACTTAGATGGTATGAGTCCTGACAGGATTAGAGAAGTGCAACAATGGAATGAGCAGACGTAAGAGAATCCCAAACTTTGGGGGGGGGGGGAGTTTTAAAACTCTATATATAGAGTTTTAAATCTTTCCCCCCAAAGTCTGGGATTCTTTTACATCTTCTGATTCCATCCTTGCACTTCTTTAATCCTGTCAGAACTCATCATATAAGTTCACTGTTAGAGAGACAGAATTCCTGATTTACCTTACAGCATTGCAATGTGGATTGTAACAATATGGGCTCCATGGATCACTTCAAAAACTGTCAAGCACCATATAAATGCTGTCTGTTGTTGTTGTTAATAATAATAATACTCCTTTTACATAGACATGATGAAGCCATAGATATTCTCTTGCTATGAAGATTAGTAGTGGCTTTGGGTTGGAACGGCATTGAAAGAAACAGATCCCTAGTCAAAATGAGATGCTAACAGGCTGTATACAATGCAAATTTAGAACTATGAAATATGATGAAATCAGTATTCAGTCACAACATCATTGTTGATTAATACCTTAGAAATTACAGCCTCGCTGGCATTTATTTATACACATAACACTATTATTCTGCTAGAAATGCAGGATGAATGCTAGGGAGGGAGTTCTCTATCTTTTCCCATGATGGCATTTGCATGGAAGAAATTATTAGCAGAATTAAAAATAAGTAGACGAGCAAAGGAAATGTGAAGGAGGATAGAATTAGCAGTGCCTGTGGTGAGTCACTTAATAAGCAGGTAAAAAGATATTAAATAATTACAGTGCTTGCATAGTAGACGCTGCATGAAGAGAGTGACTCAATGAAATAATACCTGGTTTATGAAATGTTATAGGGACCAAAGCCTGCCATGTAGCATCTACTCCCTGCCAGAGCTTGGAAAGTTTATTTCTGGAGATTTAGAAGGTGCAGCTCAAGAAAATGGCATCTTTTTAGGCAATCGCAAAGACATGGGCGACACTCACAGCCTCACCACAGTTTTATATTTGCATTTACAATCATGGGACCATTGCCCTAACACCCACCTTTAAGGTGAAGGAGTTCTGGCAAATACGAGTGCTGAAGAATGGATGTATTCAGCAGCCTCTTGCCAACAAGCCACATTGGGATATGACTTGCTGGCAGGAGGGGGCTGGATGTGTCATGCTTCAGCCTTGTAGTTGCCAGAATTGCAGAACTGTTTTGCTTAGTATAGCTGCCTGGTTTTAAGATGGACTGTAGCAGGAGATGGAGCATATGGTGGGGGGGGGGGGGGAGATTATGTCAGGGGAAGAGAGTTTTCCTCCTTTTCTAAGCCTGCAAGACCTTAGTGCCAAGATCATTTCCTCTCGTCTTAAGGAATCTCGGGAGAAGAGAAGTCATTAAGTGTCTTTGCTTAGGTTTTGGTCCTGAAATCTCAGATTCTAGGATGCTCCTGATCTGGCAATCCCATCCCCTTCCTGATGGAGCCTTGTCTTCACCAGAACAGATAATGCATCACCAGGAGCCCTGGTTTTGTTTATGTATTTTCAGCCTTCCAAATTATCCCACCTTCCCTTTTTTCTGATGTCATCCAGCATTAAAATTAGCAGTTAATGTCTCATGCAACAAACCAGTTGTAATCCTTTTATTTTCATTGGAMTCTGCACTCCCCTTTTTATCTTTTCTCTCCCCCCCCCCCTTTCCTGACCACCACAAATTCCTAACACTGCAATGCAGCCCACTTCAGCTAAATGTTAGATGATCCCTAGTAGCTTTCTGAAAGCTCAGGCCATTCAGAAGCAGCTTTGTAGTCTTCCCACTTTTCCAACTGTTGGGTTTCATCCCTTACTGCACAAGTCTCTAGCCCTCAATGAGTAGTTAGCCTAGATAGATTAGAGTGAGGGATTCCTTCCCCAAATTCCTTTTGTTTGCCTGTCTCAAGAAGGAGCTTAGAAGGGGTGTTGTGTTACTCATCCTGCATGCTACTATCTCCCCCCTCTTTGAATACTTAGGAATGCAAAGATACAGAATGGGGGACAATGCCTGGCTCGAGAGCAGTACGTGTGAAAAAGATCTTGGAGTCCTCGTGGACAACAAGTTAAACATGAGCCAACAATGTGATGTGGCGGCAAAAAAACCAATGGGATTTGGCCTGCATCAATAGGAGCATAGTGTCTAGATCTAGGGGAGTAATGCTACCTCTCTATTACACTTTAGTTAGACCACACCTGGAATATTGTGTCCAATTCTGGGCACCACAATTCAAGAGAGATATTGACAAGCTGGAATGTGTCCAGAGGAGAGCGACTAAAATGATCAAGGGTCTGGAGAACAAGCCCTATGAGGAGCGGCTTAAGGAGCTGGGCATGTTTAGCCTGAAGAAGAGAAGGCTGAGAGGAGATATGATAGCCATGTATAAATATGTGAGAGGAAGCATAAGGAGGAGGGAGCAAGCTTGTTTTCTGCTACCCTGGAGACTAGGACTCGGAACAATGGCTTCAAACTACAAGAAAGGAGATTCCATCTGAACATGAGAAAGAACTTCCTGACTGTGAGAGCCGTTCAGCAGTGGAACTCTCTTCACCTTAGTGTGGTGGAGGCTCCTTCTTTGGAAGCTTTTAAACAGAGGCTGGATGGCCATCTGTCAGGGGTGATTTGAATGCAATATTCCTGCTTCTTGGCAGGGGGTTGGACTTGATGGCCCATGAGGTCTCTTCCAACTCTTTGATTCTATGATTCTATGATTCTATGTGAACTCTTCAGGGAAAACATAACTTCCTCTTTAAAGGTATTTTTATTGCCCTGGGCTGGCCATGCGGCCTGTCTCCATTTTCTGGGTCTCTTCTTCCTTTGTTCTGCTAGAGTGAGGTGGTATCTTGCCATTGTCCAGGCAAGATGTAGTAGATATGGCTATTTTGTTATTTTTCCTTTTTCATTTTCATAGGAGATAGCTAAGAGAAGCTAGTTAGCTCCAAGAACCTTTTCTATTGAGAATGGATTTCTTTTGGCTTTAATAAACATATTATTTTTAGAACCTATCAAGTTGTGGATCTGCAATCCTGTTCCATCCTGTTGAATGGAAACCAATCCTTGCTCTCTACATATAAGCTTCTGCTGGTTATGAACTGTGTTTCTGGCACTCTGCTATATTTTTGTGGAGTCACCCCACGTGAGGGTTATTTTTGAGCCTAACAGCTCCTGATTCCCAACACCTACAAGTCTGCTTCCTCACCTTAAGCAAACCCTGGTTTGTGGAAGAGTATTTCATTTTTGTTTTACTTACATAGAACATATCGATTTGTCATTTATGACCTGACAGATTTCCTATTAGATGTGCTACATCAAAAGCTGTGGACATTTTTAAACTGCGGAATACATCATTTATCCTAAAAATCCTATTGGGTAATAGTGCTTGCAATACCCAATTTTCTGAAAGTATACAATCTTATTCAAGATTTGAGGAGGGGGCGTATAGGGATGCAGCAAAATGAAGGTTTTCCTTGACTTCTGCGTACTTATCATGCTCAGCCTTCCCAGGGGACTGAGCAAGAAAAAATGGATTATGCTCTAAACAATAAAAGGCGAGTCGTTCGCTTAGTTTTGCTGTGGGCTGCTTTGTACGGCGATCTCTTGCAAGAGGACGAAGCAGCAATGGCCTTCCTGGAGGTAGGGTGCAATTGTTACTATGTCTGTTTCTTGAAGGTTAATATTGACTGCAAGTGAAGCAGGAGAAGTGTCTCAAGACTGTCTGCCTTTCAAGCTTTAGAATCTTTCCAAGGATACGGGTTTAAAGTGCACACTGATATTTCTCCCTCTTTCGTTATCTGGCGACATGCAAAGCCAGGTATCGATTTCAGTGGATGCCATGTTAAGGAGGGGGAAAACCTGACTATTGTTATTTCTTTTGAAAAGGATGTGTATTCTGTAACGTGAAATGAATCACACCAAAAGCTAGGAGGACATGAGCATTGTAAGGGTTCCGAACCTAAGCAACTAATACCTTTAAAAAAGCTTCCATGGAAATGCTGTAGGCACAGTTCATTGCTTCACAAATAATAAAGCATTACATTTGCTTTAAAAAATATCCTGACCATAGATTATGGTGAAGTGAAGCAACTTTCATTGACACAAATAGAGGACAATCAGAAACAGTGTCCTCACAGTCATTACAGTTGATTTCAGATTACCTTTTAGCCACCCAACCGGAGAACAACAAATGCCATCACATTACCGATTTGGCAAAACATCCAGATCATTTCAAAGAATCCACTTCCACATCACTTCCAGAAATGTTGGAAAATTTCTGGGATACACAAATAATGCTGTACCCTACACTTGAACTGAAACTAATGTGATGAACACAATGAGTTACCGTATTTACACTGTAGGACTCAGTGGAATTTAACTAATGTCAGATGGAGCCCCCGGTAGCGCAGTGGGTTAAACCCCTGTGCCGGCAGGACTGAAGACCGACAAGTTGCAGGTTCAAATCTGGGGAGAGGTGGATGAACTCCCTCTATCAGCTCCAGCTCCTCATGCGGGGACATGAGAGAAGCCTCCCAGAAGGATGATATCAAATCATCTGGGCGTCCCCTGGGCAACGTCCTTGCAGAGGGCCAGTTCTCTCACACCAGAAGCGACTTGCAGTTTCTCAAGTCGCTCCTGACACGACCAAAAAAAAACTAATGTCAGGAGCGACTTGAGAAACTTAAAGTCCCTTCTGGTATGAGAGAATTGGCCGTCTGCAAGGATGTTGCCTAGGGGATGCCTGGATGTTTTTGATGTTTTACCGTCCTTGTGAGAGGCTTCTCCCATGTCCCCACATTGGAAGCCGGAGCTGACAGAGGGAGTTCATCCGCGCTCTCCCCGGATTTGAACCTACGACCTACAGTAAAGTGAAAGCAGAGCAGAATTTACCCCATACCTCCTAGATTACACGAAGAATACTTTGAAGTCATAAAAATGGTGTGTGTGTGTGTAGGTGCATGGAGATGTGAGGTTCTCCAAGGCTAGGTGGGGGACATGTATGACCCTCACATCTCTAGAAGTCTTATATTTGTCTTGATGGTTTCTTAGAAATAATGTAAATAAATTAATGATCGGTCATGATTCTACCTGTGATACTTATCTTGACCAGTCAATTATTTCTTTCTATTCTTATTTGAAGAGTGTTTTTTTTATCATTTAACAGGAATTTTATGTATCTGTATCAGATGATACAAGAATGATTACAGCTCTCAAAGACCAACTCCCAGAATTAGAGAAGGCTATGAAACAAATGTAAGTATAGCCTTTAGTTTGATCATCGCTAAATTGTCCTCTGAAAATGTCTACTATAAGGGATTGCTATTTTCAGATTGGCTATCATTGCAGAAATTTAGTACTTTTTAATGAATTACTATAAGAAGAGGGCCAGCTGCACATGATGCTTTCCCATTCTCCTGAGTAACTTCTACTATTATGGCTGATATAGTGTGATCATCACACTAGAGAAAAAATCCACTCAAAATCTGGTTTCTGCCTCCTGCACAATTCTGGGGTTTGTAGTTTAATGAGGCTGTTAAAGACTCCTCCCTAAACTACAAACCCCAGAATTCTGCAGGAGGCAGAGAGCGGATTTTAAGTGGATTTTTTCTCTACTGTGATGAGGCCTAATTAATGTTATGCAGCTCTTCAGTGTTCTTTCCATAAACTGCAGTCATCATTGTGTATGTGGCCTAGGCCAGTGAAGCAGAGCCTGGAAGCAATAACATCACGTTGTACATCTTTGTTCTTTGAATTTAGTAAAAGCAGTTATTATTATTATTTTGTGTCAAAAGCATTGCATAAATGTTGAAAAGCATTTTGGGTTGGGAAAATTAGCCGTTTATAAAAAAATGTTGCCCAAGGAACGCCCAACTGTATTTACACAGTCTTTGAGGAGGCTCTTTCCGTGTCCCCCAGTAAAAGCAGTTGAAAAGGTGGAATGCTTGAGGATTAATCAGCATTGTCCCTACCAGATTGGGGCAGTTGGAGGGTATGGATTATATAAATGATTATATTAGTGCAATTGCTTCAGCCTTCTCACCACTTAAGAACCCTGTGCCAAAAACTAGAGATGCAGCTTGTTTCCTGTTCTTCCACAGTCATTTCCACATTCGCCATTTTTCAACATTTAGTATGTTAATTGATACTATAAAATCTATGGTATTAGATGCTTAATTTTATCAACATTGGAGGGCTGAAAATCATTAACTTCTTGATAATTTTGTTCTGCTACGTAGTGTATTTTATTGTGTGTCTTTATTTAATTTCTATTCCACCGCTTCTATATTGACATCAAGATCATAGAATTCATAATCTTAGGAAATCCATTCGTCCCTTCTCTTTTAGCATTTAGATCTATGGAATGTTGTGTGTCAGGTGGCAGCTGGTTGATGAGTTTTTCACAGTTCTGTAGGTTTTTAGTATGCTTATTTGAACATAATTTTTATTGTGCTATTATATATTGCTTGTTCTTATTATGTGGGTCCCTTATTGTTACTTGCAATTCTACAAGATGCTTTGTGTGTTCACAAAGATAAATGGTGAGTTAAATTATATGTGAAATTATATCTAACACCTCTGCTTAAAAGTATGTTTATATGATTGCCTGCCTATTAAAGTCTGAGTTTCAAAAAAATTAGGTATAACACTTTAAATGATATATTGTTGTTACAGCCTCCCAAAAGTAACTATAAAATATTCTCTCTTTGCTTTTATAGATCAGAAGAAGCTAAAGCACCTCAGAAAAAGGTAAATATAGTGGACACTCACCCACATAAAATCACCAAGGCAAACAGGACCTCCCGGTGGCACAATGGGTTAAACTCTTGTGCCAGCAGGACTGCTGACTGAAAGGTCAGCAGTTCGAATCCAAGGAATGGGGTGAGCTCCCATCCAGCTTCCCATGCAGGGACATGAGAGAAGCCTCCCATGGGATGGTAAAACATCCGGGTGTCCCTGGTCAATGTCCTTGCAGATGGCCAATTCTCTCACACCAGAAGCGACTTGCAGTTTCTTAAATTGTTCCTGACATGAAAAAAAACCCAAGGCAAATAGTAGGGAACCTGTACATTCTTCAAAAGGTTGTATGTCTACAACTCTCATTAACCTTAGCTAGCATACCCAATGAAAGCTGAGGGTGATGGGAGTTATAGTCTAATAACTTCTGGATTGCCCCCATTTTGAACTAAGTGTTAGTAAATCTCATACCTGTAAATTGACAAATGTGTGTTTTCTATGGGGCCAATCCATGGCTGTTTTGCTTCTCCCCCCTCCCCAATAATCAACACTAGCATGCTGTAGTATCAAGAACAGAGATAGAGGACTATGTGGCCCTCTAGCTATTGTTGAGCTCTCCAGCAATTGTTGAAGAAGATTGTCAAAGTTGCGGGATGGGGAGATCATGGGTCTGGATATCAACAATCTCCTTTGGGCCACCTGTGTTCCTATTTGGTCTAGACAAGTTCCCACTTGCATTTATGATGATGGGCTACTGTTGTGTTTATTTCCAGCACAAAGTTCTTTTGCAGCACTTCAATACAAGTGATGAGAGGACACAAAAACGCCAGCCAATCAGAGGAAGTGATGAAAGTAAGTCAATTGGTTGAATGGAAGCAAAACTGAAGGTCAAATTGGATGCAATGAGAAATACTTATTCTCCATGATTAACCTGATTTCTTTCCAACAGTAGGGTTTCTTTTGAGGTTCTTGCCTTAGCGGTGAAGCTTGCTAATTAAATCTGTGTTTACTTTCAAATGACCAATCCTTTTTGTTAAAAAGCACATTAAAGGCAAAATTAATAGATAAGGAAAGTAATGCACCGTGACGAAGAACCTTGGCAAAAAATGTAGTTTAGCTTGATCCACAGTTGATCCCTACTAATCCCAAAAGCTATACTAAAGCAGGATTCTACAAGAATTTAAATCCATACTTTAACTTCATGCCTTTACAAATTAAACACTTAGTTTGGTCGCTGTAAAGTAAATTCTCTGTGTGTGTGTGTTTGTGTGTTAATTAACTGTCGTATGCCTGGGTTCCTTTCATAAAGTTCTGATATGAGTTTCTCAACTTGGTTTCTTTCTTTCTTTTTTTAAATTTTTATTAAAGAATTTTCTTACAATTGTATGGTTAAAAAGAAAAGGCAAATGGGGTTTAGGATTGAAGGTAGGATAGAATAAGGGAAAGTAAGGGAAAGGATAACAGAGATCAGGTCCAACTTGGTTTCTTTCATAAGGTCCTATTGGTTTATCAATCTTCTAACAACAACTTCAGTCTTTAGGATTTGAAACTTCCAGATATTAATTGTAAAGCATGTGTGTTTGGTTCAGTGATGGATTTCAGTCAAAGGAGCAGTGAATCTCTTCTGGGTTTTTATATAGAGTAATCTGAGACGGTGACCCTTTTATCCAAAAGAAGCTCAAGGTGCTTCCAGACAGCACCAAATCATGGGTTTTCCATGAGAGGCAAAACAACCCAGGACCTGAGAGCAGGTCTGCACACAGACCTCTTTGTCCTAGGATTTCTGCCTGCGGCGTCCAGACTTGCTGCTTCATTATGGGATTTTGAAGCCAGCAAGATGGCTGCTACAAGACATCTGCCAGAAATTTCCGCTTTTTGAAAAAAAAAAAAATTAAATGCACAGATGCGAATTTGCGCATTGTTCATACGAGTTTTGTTCCTGGGTCATAGATATCTGTTCCTTGTAGCTTTTATCCTGAAAAGATGGCAAAAATTGACTAGGGGGCGAAACCTTTGTCCTAGCAAGAGAAACTTTGTCCTCCACATGTTTCATAAAGTTTGAGGCACACAAACAAAGTTTGTGCAGTAGGACCACTACTTTCAAAGTCAGGACTACATTATTAAACAAGAACAGATACTATCAAGCCAGGAACAGAACTTTGTCATTATTATTATCATTCAGAGGTTGCATGGCTATCTGTCCAGACAGGTTTGGTTGTGTAGTTGTGCCTGGGAACAACGGGGTAGTGAAACTCAACTTGATTTTCTACCATTTGGAGATGAAACTATCTGCCATTACAATTTCTGATCTTTTTAATGCCTGGATATCACAAACTCAATACAGAGATCCCTAGAACTTCTATGATTCTACCCGTTGCTAACAGCGACAGGAATGGTTGGGGTTTCAGGGAACAGTGTCACCAGAGCATTTCTGGAACACCAGAAGATGAATGACCAGAAAGTAATGGTAAACTGTTTAAGTAACTAGTTTGGGGGATAGGATAGCTGAAAACGCAGTGTAGGTTCATTGCCCTATTAACATGGAATCTTCCAGCCACCATTTACTAAGCCCTATTAACATGGAATCTTCCAGCCACCATTTACATCTTGTCAAATGTCTGTACAATTTGAGACAATCATAACTCTAAAAGCGATTTTATTAGTGAGTGCCTTAGTGCATTTTGTTCTTACCAGTCCCCATTGATAATATGTTGCTGTTATTGTTTTGTCTGAAGTTTTGTTTAAGGTGTACTGCCTCGACCACACTTATACCACCATCCGCATTCCTGTGTTGTCTTCGGTTAAAGAAGTCATCAGTGCTGTGGCTGACAAACTGGGCTCTGGAGATGGCTTGATATTAGTGAAGATGAGCTCAGGAGGAGGTAAGAACATTTGCATAATCTTTAACACTCCTCATTTGCCTTGAAGCAGCAGACCATGATGGAATGGAAAAGACCCATACTGATTTTTCAAAGACTTCTCAAATTAATTTTAATGTCTGACAAACTGGACTGTCTCTCTTGGGAAGAGACAGTAATTTTCACCACGAGAAGAGGAATCTGCATGTCTGCCTTTCAGCTCCCTCCCACCCAAATATGAAATGAGACATCTGGCCTGTTTTGAAACCAGAACAGATTTCTTTCTTACCTTTATATCCTTCATTTTCTTTACAAAGTACAAAGTTCAAAGAGGCATGCATGGCTCTTCCTCTGACCACTTGGCCATCACAGCAACCTTGTAAGATAGGTCAGGCTGAGACAGAATGATTGGACAGAGGTGACCCAGAAAGTTCCATGGCTCCCAAGTTCCAGTCCTTTCATTGAAACCATCCTGAATTTCATCTGTGCATATTAGGTAGAGGTTGCTATTCTTTGCTTTCAAGCCATTTCTGACCTATGGTGACCCTATAACATGGTGTACTTGGCAAGTATTGTTCAGAGGGGCTTGTCTTTGCCTTTCTTTGTGTCTGAGAGCATGTGACTTGTGCAAGGTCACTCAGTGGGTTTTCATGGCCAAGCTGGCATTTGAGCCTTGGTCTCCAGAGTTGTGCTTCAGGACTCTGACCTGTACACCATGCCGACTCTATTAGTAAATAGGCTTCCCATGCTGTAATTGTAAATTACAGGCAGTCCAAGAATTACAAACATCTGACTTACAAATGGCTCATAGATAAGAACGGGGTGACACAATAGGAAGTGAGAAAAATCTACCCTTAGGAAGGGAAATTCACTCCTGAAAGAGTTATCACGGGGAAATGAAGTCTCTACTGAAGTTTTCTATAAAAAGCCATTTTTTTCAAAATACAATGATTACAGGGACATAAAGTGAAGTGAAAACTTCTGGACAGAGGCACAGACAGGGGGCGTTAACCCTTCCCTGTGTTATCCAAAGCGCTCTCTCCTTCCCTCTCCCTCCCACCCCCTCTCTGTATATAGACAGACAGATAGATAGGTAGATATGGAATTACAATTTTAAAATATACCTATTCCAATTTATATTTGGAATATAAATTGGAATAAATATAAATTGGAATATATATTTGAATAAATTGGGGGATGCCTGTTATTGTAAATTGAGGATATGTTTCAGAACCATGGATAGATCCCTTAACATTCAGAGTGGTTCCATGGTCATCTGGGGACCCACTGGTTGAGAACCACTGTTCAATGTCATTGACATAGAACAGTGGTTTTCAACCTGTGGGTCCTCAGATGTTTTAACCTACAACTCCTAGAAATCCTAACAGCTGCTAAACTGCCTGGGATTTCTGGGAGTTGTGAGCCAAAACACCTGGGGACCCACAGATTGAGAACCACTGACATAGAAGCTATCAGCCGTCACTCGGTGGCAGATGGTATCCCATCATCAATCTCAAGACTGAACTAGTTGTGTTGAAAAACCTTTCAAGAAAGAAAAAGTGAGACCTATGTGAGAATTTACACTTCTGATACTGGTGCTTCTAGGGATATTCTAGTTTCTCGGTCATGTGAAAGATGCTATTTTCACGTTGTCAGAAACTTTTCTTTGGCCATAATACTGGCAAACCTCTTGTTCCTTGTGTATAGATTTCAAAAAATGCATTCAAAGAGTAAAGCATTATTTTGGACTTTGAGGTTGCCATAGTACCTGTGGGCCTCATTAATCCCAATATGAGTGAGGTTCCATGCAAAGAGGAATTGTGTAGGCTTGACAGATTCTAGTTTTGAAGGCAACCTTGAAGACACATGTTCAATGCGTATGTGATGCACCCACAGTGGACTGGATCATGCCCATTTATCCTTCTATGTTTTCTGGATGTGTTCCCTATGGTCCTAGACTCTTCTACCCATTTGTTTGTTTTGACCCAAAATGTAGTCCTTAACCATTATGGCTCAACATTAGTTGAGTTTTAAAAGGCAACGTTCATTTGTGGTACTGCTGGTTCCAATTTGCTTGGCAACATGAGCTCTGACAGAGTTAATTAAAACTACACTGGCATGCAAATAGAACCTCCTGTTAGGGACAATTTTTTCTTTCTTTTTTGGCAAATAAATTGATGCTGGGGCATTGCTGATTTGTAATGTCAATGGGGCTTCTTTTTATCAGAGCAGGAGGCATTCAGGTCGACATGATGAGACAAAACAAGATGTATTAAGTCAGTTAATAAAACACTCTTATGTGACGTGCATATGCATTGTTTTCTTTTAAATGGAACCATGAGTTGAAAATGTAACTGACAGTAACATCGTAGGTGTGTCTCCTTGGGAATTCATAATAATAATAATAATCATCATCATCATCATCATCTTATATCCCGCCTCCATCTCCCCAAAGGGACTCGGGCGGCTTACATGGGGACCAAGCCCAATATAAACAAAGGTAACAAAGTAACACAATTAAAAACATATAACAATCAACTATATTAAATCAATAAAACCAATAGAACGTACAATTCTAAAGACTAGAATGTTTCCACAGAGAAGACAGATAATATAAATCCAAGCCAACATTTGAAAATTATATACTTTGGGCAAGTTAAATATGTATATATTCCTAACAAAATGCTTTCCATAATTACCAATTCAAAATAATTCATAACAGAATCCTTGCTATATTTACCAGCTTGAGTAAGGAACCTTCATAGGAGTGTCATGTGTGTTAAAATAATTAAGATCATACCCCCTTTTTTCAAACCATGACCATTTCAATGAACTTTATTAAAGCTCACTAAAGGCTTGACAGGAACATTTAACAGGATCAATGTGAAGTTCAGTGGAGTTCACAGGAGGGTTGGGGTTGAGGATAGTTTTCTTCATGCAAAGTGTGTTTGTGTGGGCCTCATCACACTAGAGAATCCACTTTAAATCTGGTTTCTGCCTCCTGCAGAACTCTGGCATTTGTAGTTTAGGGAGGAGAGTTTAACAGCCTCACTAAACTACAAACCCCAGAATTCTACAGGAGGAAGAAACTGGATTTAAAGTGGATTCATTCTCTAATGTGATAAAGTTAACACTTTTTCAATTGTGGTAATTATTAAAAGTCACGATAACAGCTATAGTTCTCCTTAACAAGCTACCTTGTGAAATATTATGACCTGGGGATTAGAAAGTCACAACTGCTTCCCAAAATCACATTTACCTTTCTCAACCAATTCTGTTGGAACCATATGCACTGGCATATTAAAATAATCAGACTTGAAGGCATCTTGTTTTATGGTATTATCACCATGTTTTAATATCAGCCTGTTTTATGCCCTCTTAATGAAATTCAAGATACTCAGCTTCAGGAAGATGTTGTTTCAGGATCTTAATGGTGCTTGCCTAAAAATAGAAATGAGCATCAGAAACCTATACGTTTTCTCCAGTTTCTGCTACAATCCAAGTTGGAGGAGATTTTTCAGCCATTGGCTTTGCTGATTGGAGAATTCTAGGAGTTGTCCAAAATGTAATGCTAGTGCATTCTGCATAGTGCAACTTGAAAACCTGCAACTGTGAGTAGATCAATAGGTAATGCTCCAGCGGGAAAGTAACGGTGCTCCATGCAGTCATGCCTGCCACATAACCCTGGAGATGTCTATGGACAACATTGGCTCTTCAACTTAGAAGTGGAGATGAGCACAAACCCCCAGAGTTGGTGCATTCTCTTGTCCTTAGTGCATTCTGCTGTCTTTTACCTTTGTTGTCTATTTTTGTATAACACAACCCTTGTTTTTCATCTTTACAGAAAAAGTACTACTCAAACCTAATGATGTTTCAGTGTTTACAACACTCAGTGTTAATGGACGACTCTTTGCTTGCCCTCGAGACCAGTTTGATACATTGGTATGTAAGTATGCTAATCTCTGAAAACCTTTCAGATCAGAGGCTGTTGGTAGTATCACTTACCTGGATACTAAATAACATAGAATGTCTTTGATCTGCCCTTTTAATACCTTTTACAGTATTTCAGCAGAAAATGCATGTAATCTTTTTCCTGTTTGATTTAAGATGGCATCCTGTTAATCAGTTACAATATAGTAAGTTAGATCTGGGACACTGTAACGGCTTATCTCTTCTTCTTCTTCTTCTAATAATAATAATAATAATAATAATAATAATAATAATAATAATAATAATAACAACTTTATTTATATATTACCAATATCTCCCAAAAGGGACTCAGGCTGGCTTACAGCACATGATGGTGCCACACAAAACATATAAAATACAACACATCAGCATCAATAACAATAACATTTGCAATTGTGGTGCTATTGCAATGACCTTAAATAACCCTAAAACCTACCTTAAAATCCAGTCATTCCCCCAAAATGATGGGGGGTCTGTATTACTGAGGAATGGGCTGCTGTACGGCAACCTGGTCAATTCCCTTTCACTTGCAAGCAGCACTGCAAGGAACAGAAGCAAGGACACAAGTTGGTGTCCAGATAAAGTAGTTTCTCAGCTCTGGCTACCTTGTATTTAAAATAGTAGGATTAAACTAGAACTCCATATCTCCCACCTGGTCCAATTGACAAGAACAGTCCCAACCAATCCTCTACTGTCCCATGGTCTCAGCTGCTTTAAAAATTTCCCAATTTCTCTCTATTCTCCTTTTGTCCTCAGTTTAATTTAATTGCTACAAACTAAATTCAGAGTGTAAAATTAGTTTGCATTCAACTAATTTATCAGGAGAGGAGATGGCAGAGTCCTGCCCTTATCAGGGATTTTTTTTCAGGCTTCCTGAAATTGACTACACAAATTCCTTAGTTTTCTGGGCTTCTCTGCTTAAAATAGTAGTTTTGTGTATCCTTTTACACCAGACGTGGGCAAACTTTGGCTTTCCAGGTGTTTTGGATTTTAACTTCCACAATTCCTAACAGCCAGTAGGCTGTTAAAAATTGTGGGAGTTGGAAGTCCAAAACACCCAGAGGGCCGAAGTTTGCCCATCCTGTTCCACACTAATAACCTGCCTACCTGACCACTCTCTGTCCCTCTTTCCAACTGAAATGTTGGAGGGTATGTAAACCTGACCTGATTTGAATGAATTTGTCTGGATCTGTTTCTCTCATCTTCTCCCTGACTGGGGAGAGGTCATGCACCAAGGAGAAAAAGCAGGTCAATATTAGGCATCAGCTTTGTCAGTCCATTCTAGGATTGATCCCACTGTGCATTAAAGGTGGCACATGTTCCAAGAATGTTTTTGTATTGATTTCATATCCTATTATGAGACAAATTGGAATGAAAAAATGTTGATGAACTGCACTGCCCTCTTGTGGGAGAAAAAGTAATGTAATGGCTTGTGCAAAAAAAAAAAAAAGTACTTTTGAGACTTTTGTAGATGCGTAACCCTAACCAATGATTCTCAACCTGTGGGTCCTCAAGTATTTTGGCCTACAACTCCCAGTTTCCCAGCTGTAAGGATTTCTGGGAGTTGAAGGCCAAAACATCTGGGGACCCACAGGTTGAGAACCACTCAAAGGACCCATTCCTTTTCTCTCGCAGTTTCAGTGTCTATCACACTGTCTTCTATTTCAGAAGCTACTCATAATTTAGAAACAATATACAATAGATTTTGGAATGCCATTGATATGGTATTCATCATCATCATCACCACTAATATTTTAATATTTTTCCCCCAGACACCACTACAGGAACAAGAAGGTCCTTCTACTGGAACTGTAGGAACTTTTGAACTCATGAGCTCCAAGGACCTGGCATATCAAATGACAATTTATGAGTGGGAGCTTTTCAACTGTGTACATGAGGTAATGAAAACTTGTGTCTCCGTTTTAGGCTGTGATTCAGTCTTTACACACTTCAGAATATCAAGGTGACAGAATGGACTCTAATTTATCAGATTACAAACCAAAGGGAACAATTTAGTGTGTTTGGAAGAATGATTGGAGCCCCCGGTGGTGCAATGGGTTAAACCCTTGTGCTGGCAGGACTGCTGACCGAAAGGTCGGCAGTTCAAATCCATGAAGCTGTGTCAGCTCCCCTCTGTCAGCTCCAGCTTCCCATGTGTGGATGTGAGAGAAGCCTCCCACAGGATGGTAAAACATCAAGGTGTCCCCTGGGCAATGGCTTTGCAGATGGCCAATTTTCTCACACCAGAAGCGACTTGCAGTTTCTCAAGTTGCTCCTGGCAAGGGTGAATGATTATAGCTGGACATAGAAAACCTTTGACAGTTTATAACTCCAGGAGAAATTATTGTTTTGCTAAAAGGGGAAAATGTTGGAAGGAAAATTGTAATCTAATATAAATGTACTTCCTGGCTTTTAAGTTCCTTAAACAAATCGTATACAATTGAGCAGAATTAAATATTATGCAGGTTTGTACATTTATGAAATGTCGAGATTAAATTGCAGATTGTTAAAACAACAATTAGATTTTCCCTGATGCTAAGAGACAGAACAACAACTTCTTATTTATTTATTTACAGTATTTCTACACTGCTTTTCTCACCCCTGGGGGGACTCAAAGCGGTTGAGATTCTTAACTATATCTCAATTTTCATCAGTTTGGAATGTGGTGGGAAATAAAATGGATATTGAAACCACCAACATACAAACCTGCCCAGCAACTAGAGTATGGATACAAAAAGTCCACTCCACAAACTGCCAACACTCTCCTAACTTTGGCTTCAAAAACATTGGATAGATAGTTAGTTTGAAATTTTCTCAATTTATAAGGACAAACTGTAGTTATGATAAAATGCAAACCAGAATAGGATGAAGACAGTTGGGAATTCTCAAATGGAGTAAAGTTAAAAACACTTGCCTCTCATTTGAGCTTTGTTCCACCAGATCATACAACATTTGAACATAAGTGTGTTAAAGGCTTTCATGGCTGCAGTCACTGTGAGTTGCATGGCCATACAGCCATACATGGCTGTATGGCCATGTTCCAGAAGCATTCTCTCCTGACGTTTTGTCCACATCTATGGCAGGTATCCTCAGAGGTTGTGAGGTCTGTTGGAAACTAAGCAAGTGAGCTTTATATATCTGTAGAATGTCCAGAGTGGGAGAAAGAACTCGTGCCTGCTTGAGGCAAGTGTGAATTTTGCAATTGAGCACCTTGATTAGCATTTAATGGATTTGCAGCTTCAAAGCCTGTCTGTTTCCTGCATGGGGGAATCCTTTGTTGACGGGTGTTAGCTGACCCTGACTGCTTAGAATCATAGAATCATAGAGTTGGAAGACACCTCATGGGCCATCCAGTCCAACCCCTGCCAAGAAGCAGGAATATTGCATTCAAAGCACCCCCGACAAATGGCCATCCAGCCTCTGTTTAAAAGCTTCCAAAGAAGGAGCCTCCACTGCACTCCGGGGCAGAGAGTTCCACTGCTGAATGGCTCTCAAAGTCAGGAAGTTCTTCCTATTGTTCAGATGGAATCTCCTTTCTTGTAGTTTGAAGCCATTGTTCCATTGCGTCCCAGTCTCCAGGGCATCAGAAAACAAGCTTGCTCCCTCCTCCCTGTGATTTCCTCTCACATATTTATACATGGCTATCATATCTCCTCTCAGCCTTCTCTTCTTCAGGCTAAACACCCAGCTCTTTAAGCCACTCTTCATAGGGCTTGTTCTCCAGACCCTTGATCATTTTAGTTACCCTCCTCTGGATACATTCCAGCTTGTCAATATCTCTCTTGAATTGTGGTGCCCAGAATTGGACACAACATTCCAGGTGTGGTCTAACCAAGGCAGAATAGAGGGGTAGCATTACTTCCCTGCACCTAGACACTATGCTCCTATTGATGCAGGCTTCTTGTCTGGAAGCCATTGAAATCCACAAGCATGTGGACAATGTCAACAGGAGGAAACTATGAAAATGAACAAAATCTGGCTATCGGTATTTTACAAAACTCTGAAATCAGGACAGTAAATAAAGAGCAACACTCAAAAAACAGGGGAATTCAAGACAGGAATTCCAGCCCAGAAAACTCATAGCAACCCATTTGCAACATATTCAGGATGTGACAAATATTCAAATATATCTCTTCCCCAATGAGAAGGAGTGATTTGATACACAGAGACATTGGGGGGAGGGGGAGATGACAACTGCTACAAGACTTTTTGAATATGGGAAGTTGGTGGTGAAAAGTTCATTTGCTAGTATTTCCGAGTATAATATTTTTTCTCACAAATGGAATATTTGGAAAAAGGGTCTCACAACGTAAAAAATATAATTGTAGAAAAATTCACAGAAACTCTTTTAATCTAATTTATCGGGGGAAACCCTCTGAAATTCTTCCTTTTTTCCAGAGAAAAATGAAATATGTCAAAATTTAGAGGTCTAAGCAAAATGCAGTCAGCAATCATTTGGAAATGTCACTAATAATTTCTCCAAAACATGTTTGTAAATAAGCAGGCATTATTTAACCACCACCCGTATTCTTCCTAATCCCTCCCCTATTTTTTCTTCTTCCTTTTTTAGCTGGAACTCCTCTACCACACGTTTGGGAGGCACAATTTTAAAAAGACCACAGCCAACTTGGATTTGTTTTTACGAAGATTTAATGAAATCCAGTTCTGGGTGGTCACTGAAGTTTGCCTTTGTTCTCAGCTCAGCAAACGTGTTCAACTGTTAAAGAAGTTTATCAAGATAGCAGCCCAGTAAGTGTGGTCAGACACATTAAAAGAGCTCTGTGCAGCCAGGGAGGCACAAAAGAGGCCCTCATAAATCCCACAAAGGAGAGTTACTCAAGAAGTGGCAATGGCTTGCCACAGATGGGCCATGTCACATGATTGCGTTATGTTTCTGGTAATGAATGGGGCATTGTTCTTTTGCATGAATTTCCTCTCAATCTGCCACAGAGGAAGAAAGAAGGGAGAAATTATTATCTCCCAGGCAGTCTAAGGGCCCTTCCAGACAGTCCCTATATCCCAGGATCTGATCCCAGGTTTTCTGCATTAAACTGGATTATATGTCCCCACTGCCAGCTAATCTGGGATAAACAGAAAACCTGGGATATAGTGCCTGTCTTGAAGTGCCCATAGAGATAGGTTAGATATACAGGTAGAACTGTCTAAGGGTGCATCTACAATGTCAAATTAATGCAGTTTGACCCCACTTTAACTTCCATGGCTCAGTGCTATGGAATCCTGGGAATTTTAATTTTACAATGTATATAACCTCCTCTCCAAAGACTGCTGGTGCCTCACCACACTACAATTCCATAGCATTGAGTCACAGCAATTAAAGTGGAGTCAAACTGCATTTATTTAACACTATAGATGCACCCAAAGCCTAATCTGTTCATTGCATAATACTGCAGGGACTTCCCACTTCAAAAGTCTCTTGTCCAGCCTTCCCCAGTCTGGTGTCCACTGGGTGGTAACTTAAACTCCATGTCCCATCATCCTCAGCCCAGTATGGCTGTAAGAGTTGTAGTCAAACATGCCTGAAAGGCATCAGGTTGGGAATTACTTCTCCACTCAATATCCTGGCTATATTGATCAGAGTAAAATAGAAATACCTTGTGTGACTGTGGAGAACTCCGCATCTATATGCTTGTCCACTATGCCCTGCCTCATGCACAGAGGAAGAATTGTTGGAGGCTACAGACAATGCTGTTGCTATTGCCTGTTTTTGGTCAAAAGATATTTAGCCGCCTGCACTCCTTCTATTTTTATCAGTTTTATACTAATTTATGCAATGCTTTTGATATGAAATAAATAAATACATAGAAATAGATTATGGAAATACAGATTCTCTGATGGGGGAGAATTATCAGTGAGTAAACAAAATATGTTGTTGCTGTGCACAGATCGTGATGAACTGAAGAGAATGACGGGTACTGGCCACTTTGTCCCCTTTGGCAGGAATAATACAGGGAGTTAATTTAGTACCTCTCGTGAAGGCATTATTGAATTAACATACTGCAAAGAGAACCAAATCTCTTTTTCTTTTGCCTCTGCCTTGACCTTATTGCACAGAGGAGTTCCGCCTTTTGACCAGTAGAGGGCAGTAGCACACATAGATAAAATTTTAGAAGTCCCTTTTCCTGATCACTGATATAAAATAGAGGGAAATATTAGTTAATAAAATAATATAGACAATTTACATTTACAACTATATAACTATATATAGTTGTAGCTTTTAATAAGAAATAAATAGACAAAAATTTAGGAGAAAATGCATCGGAGTTGCGTGAGGTGAGCAGCTAGTAGTTAGCATACAATCCAAGATGAACATTATGTGATTAAATTTGGTGATCTCCAGTTTTCTTGCATGTTTTTTGTGGTTCTGCTTTGGTGAACTGAACAGCTGAAGTATTTAGGTCAATGCAAGACTGATAGCCATGGTATCTATTGTAATGGGTAGATGCCTATGCCTCTTTCTGCACTTACATATAAAATCCAGATTATTTGCTTTGAACTGGATTATATGGCAGTCTAGACTCATTTAATCCAGTTCAAAGCAGATAATATGGGTTATCTGCTTTGATAATCTAGATTATATAGCTGTGTAGAAGGGGCCTATGTATGTCTCTATGACCATAAATATATAGAATTGATGATCCAGATAGGAGTGTACTTTGGGGCTGTTCTGGGTTGTTTAATGGAGTTGTTAATGAAGAGTTAGTTAAAACCAGTAGCCTGCAACACCACCTGGAGCTACTAAGTGCCAAACCTTTTCTAACCAGTTGAGATAAAAGTGGAGATAGACTTTTGAGATATTGCTAAATGAGCACCAAGATGGAGTAAAGCTAGTGAACAACATGGAAAGTGGATGAGATGGGGAGAAGACAAGGAGTAGAAAGAAGAAGACCACTCAGGTGGGATTGGAGACTAGAGGAATCCTAATGTACACGGTTCCTGTTGCTGGTTTCCAATAAAGGCTATCATTTCTTTGTCTTTCTAGTAATAAGCTGTTTCTAAAGAATGCTCTTATGACAACTTTTAAATTTTAGTAATAGCAAAAATGTATCAGAGAATTATGGAATATTGCTTTGGAAAAATGGCTCTCATACATACAGAAGCTGTGCTTGAATAAAGCCATTGCCAGATGTCATCATCCTGACATCCTCTTTATAGATTGAACTATGTGTCCCTACATCTCCAGCCCCTATGGCCATTGGCTATTCTGTCTGGGAATGCAAAATATGTAGTGTAATATATCTGGATGATACAAGCAAGGGAAGGTTGTCCTATAATGGCACCAGGAATATTTTTTTTTCCTGCTAACTATGGCCCCTTCAACATAGCTGAATAAAACCCCACATTTTCTGATTTCAACTGGAATATATGGCAGTGTGGACTCAGATAACCCAGTTCAAAGCAGAAATCGTGGGATTTTCTGCCTTGTTATTCTGGGTTTAATGGCTGTGTAGAAGGGCCCAGGGACTCTATATGGCCTGAGTGAAATTCCTTAAATGCTGGTCTGGTTGTGTGGTGATATCTCTGAGTGGGAGATATTGAAGAAATAGGAATAAAAATCAAAATAAGTAGTGAAATGCAGAGGATTTTTCATAGGGAAAAGAAATCATACATATATTGAAAAAATAAGAATAAAGATATTGAAAAAATAAAAATAAAGATATTGCAAAAATAAGAATAAAAATCAAAATGAGTAGTGAAATGCAGAAAACTTTTCATGGGAAAAAGAAGTCATACATATGTTGAAAAAATAAGAATAAAAATCAAAATGAGTAGTGAAATGCAGAGGAAAAGAAGTCGTACATATATATTAAACCTTCCTTTGTTTAGAATGAAACTGAGGACCTCAGTCCAACAACTTGGTTATAATCTGGATTCTTCAATTTCACTCTCAATTGTTCAAACAACATTTGCTTTTATGGAAATATATTTAGGATTATTACCTAAGGTCAGAAGTTAGGGTAGAATAAATAAGATGCTTTATTTTAACTTGCTTAATGAAGTTTAAACATGTTATGAAGGTCCTTCTAAATGAACCCTGACAAAATGTATGAGGGCCCTTGCAATAGAAGTGGGCGCTCCCGTCTTCATTTCTCAATTTCTTTCTCTTTTTCTTCAAACGGTGAACCTCTTCTCTTCCAGTTGCAAAGAATACAAAAATCTGAATTCTTTTTTTGCTTTAATCATGGGACTAAGCAATGTCGCAGTAAGCCGCCTCACAATGACATGGGAGGTAAGTGTGAGGAGAAAGCATTTGGCTTTGATTCTTTCCTTTGACTTTGCTGCCGTTTCTTTGGAGCAGCAAAGGAACCGAGAGGCCTTGGCAAGAATCCAAAGGGTGGCTTAGAAACCCAGGCAAAAGGGGTTCGCTCGAAGCCAGCGGAAGGCTTTATTTCCCCCGCATTGAACAGTCCTGCCACAGACAGCTTTTGAAATCCCCCTGTTTCAGAAGGCGTTAACCATGAGGCATGGAGAAGGACAGAACAAACCTCACTCTCCTCTTCATCAGGAATATACAGAACTAAAATTACAACTTCTTTTGATCTTGGCTTTATAGCATAATTGCATACATGTTTGGATCAGAAGCTGAGTTCCACAGGAATTACTTCAAGGGAAAAATGTATGGCATTTTAGCTTTACAATGTGCTTGCACCATATGGTTATTGTTGTTTCATTCCATATCAGCTGCCACGGTGCCTCCTAAGAGCTCCAGTGATATAGTTAAGGAAACCATGCATCCTAAGTACTATGAATCCCAGCATCTCATAGGATGGTGTCATGGCAGCTAAACTGAGAAGAAACTACCATATCTATGTAGCACAAGTTAACTGGTAATCGCCATTTGAAGTTCTCCAATAACAATAGCAAAAGGTTGAGAAGGCAACTTTGCTTGCAAATCTAGTTGAGAAATTACTTACCATATATACTCGAGTATAAGCCGACCCGAATATAAGCCAAAGCACTTAATTTTACCATACAAATCTGGAAAAATGTATTGACTCAAGTATAAGCCAAGGGTGGGAAATGCAGCAGCTACTGGTAAATTTCAAACTAAAAATAGATACCAATAAAATTGCATTAATTGAGGCATCCATAGGTTAAATGTTTTTGGATATTTATATAAAACTGTAATTTAAAATAAGGCTGTCCAGCTCTGATTAAATAATAATACTGAGAGTAAAATAATAATTGTAATCATAACAATAATAATAAAGTAAAATAATAAATGTAATAATAATAGAGTAAAATAATAAATGTAATAAAAATAATAGAGTAAAATAATGTAAATGTAATAATAATAATAATAATAAATAGAGTAAAATAATAAATGCAATAAAATAATACTAATAACAGTAAAATAATAAATAATCTTGATTCAAGTGTAAGCCGAGGGGAGCTTTTTCAGCCTAAAAAAGTATATACAGTAATAGTTTATAGGCTACGGTATTTAACAAAAGCACACACTTGAACAATGAGCTCAAAAAACCTGCAGTTTTGTTAATATCATGGTCCAGTTGCGACTCCCGAAAACTGGCTTGTCAAGTATTCTGCAGGAAAATCTAGGGACAGATGAGAAAAAATGGAAACAGGCCTCCCACCCTGAAACTAGTGGGACTTTGGGAAATCCACACTGGAATGTGGCATTGCTCTGCTGCCACATGACCTCTGTGAACCGAGAGCAAAGCTATCTAGATTTCCCAGGGTATTTCAGGATTTGGAACCAAATCTGTTCCAGGCTTCATGGCTCTCTATTTATAAGCTGGTTGCTAGGAGACTTACTGTATTTTTCACTGCTGCATTGTTGTAAATCTGTGGCAAAAGAACAAGTATCTCAGGGCTTGGTTAAAGAAATGGAGGAAGCATCTTATGTACTGAAATGTACACACAATACTAAAAAAAAAAACACAGTATAGTATACATCACATAGTCCCTGCCATGACACCACAAACTATACTACCTTCCACCATGCACTATAAACTACAAACCTTACACTCGTAACACAATCAAACACAAAAACCCACATATTACAAACAAAATGATAGAAGAGACCCTGTGGGCCATCCAGACCAAACCCCTGCAAAGAAGCAGGAAAATCGCATTAAAAGCATCCCCAACAGATGGCCATCCAGCCTCTGTTTAAAAGCCTCCAAAAGAGCCTCCACCACACTCCAGGGCAGAAACAAAGAATAAATTAGTTAAAAGGTGACTTCTTAACTTTCCAACCAGTGGTATAAATGACATTAAATTCTACTTCCCCTACAATACTGCATCTGTTATTTAATCTGAACTACTAATTTTGAAACCCTACGATTAACATCTATTTTCCCTCTTTCTAGCAAAAAAACAAACAAAACAAATAATGCTTTTCAGACTTTCAAAAAAACCCTACCTGACAGTACTAATCTTATGAAAATTAATGAATTTGTCCATTTCATCCAGTTTAAACACTTTCATTATCAATTCTTCCTGAGATGGTATCTCTGTAGTCTTTTCCTTCTTCTCAAATAACAGTCTTGTCATGATTATTTTCTGTTGTAACACTCTCCCATTTTGCTTCTCCATTTGTTCATTTTGTTCAGCTAACTGTTCCAATAAAAACAACTCTGGTTTAAGTTTAATTTATCTCATTTGGATATCTTTTGGATCATACCATTATCTGTTTCCAATTTCTTTTTGCCTTATCACAAATCCACAAAATATGATAACATGTTCCCACTTGTTATTCGCATTTCAAACTTGTCGTATTAACACCAACAAACAATCTAATCTTGAATTTTTTGGGGGCTTTTCATATGCGTTTTTGTTTCTATCAACAGAAACTTCCAAGCAAGTTCAAGAAGATCTATGCAGAGTTTGAAAGCTTAATGGTAATAATAATAATAATAATAATAATAATAATAATAATAATAATAATAATGGAAACTTAGTTTTGACTGTTAGGTGGCCTTTCTTCCTTCTTACTCTGAGGACCTGCTCAGAGATTTCCTCTACTTTCAGTGTTTTATGTGTCCTTGTGTGACTTTAAGGAGTTTATGATCCCATTATAGTGCTGATAAAACAAGTATGTATGACTAATAAATTACACTCTCAGGAAACCTGTTCTGAGAAAATGTATGTCCTCCTTGAGGTCGACCTGGGAAATGTAGAAAACTTTTTATCTTCTCAGTATAGCAATGGCTGGATTGTACATTCCAGCTTCAAATTTTATCATGCATTGCTCTTACGGTTTAATACAGAAATGACACACTTAAGGCATTAAAAGAGTAAAAATAGAATTCTATTTCGAATGTTTATCCTATAAACACAAAATATAGAGAATACATCATGTATGTGGAGCAGGTAGTTAACGAAATGAACAATATCTCTTTCCACTTTGAGTAAAACATTTTATGAAAATTAGATATATTTTTTAAAGAAATGGCTATTACAGTTTTTGACGCTGTGTGTACAGGTGTCTTTCTTGTTTTCTTAGGACCCCTCAAGAAACCATAGGCCCTACAGACTCACTGTAGCTAAGCTGGAGCCTCCTGTTATTCCCTTTATGCCGCTACTCATAAAAGGTAATGAGATGAAAAGTGGAAAAATATAACAAGATGAATAAAAATGAGAGCTTTTAAATGAGAAACTTGATTCCCTTTCCTTACCTGACAACAGAAGCATAGCAAGCAGAGTGACAGTCTGGCATCCCTAGGAAGGGGAGTCCTAATGCCTGGGAGAAGGGCTTCTTTGACACTCCCATCAGATGTACCTGTATCCTCTCTGCTATTCCCATCAAATTCACTATGAGGGTGGTAGGACAGAGAGAATAGCCTCCCCAGGAGATCTTGAATCATGGACATGGTCATATGAAAAAACATATTCCTTCAGAAAAAGCACATTAACAAGTGAATTCTTGGAATGCATGATCGTATATCTAAAGCAGTGTTTCTCAACCGGGGGGTCAGGACCCCTGGGGAGTCACGAGAGGTTGTCAGGGAGGTCACCAGAGACCATCAGAAAACACAGAACGTTTTGTTGTTCACGGGGGTTCTGTGTGTGAAGTTTGGCCCAATTCTATCATTTATGGGGTTCAGAATGCTCTTTGATTGTAAGGTAACTATAAATCTCAGCAACTACAACTCCCAAATGTCAATGTCTATTTCCCCCAAACTCCACCAGTGTTCACATTCGGGGGTATTGAGTATTCATGCCAAGTTTGGTCCAGATCCATCATTGTTTGAGTCCACAGTGCTCTCTGGATGGAGATGAACTACAACTCCAAAACTCAAGGCCAATGCCCACCAAACCCTTCCAGTATTTTCTGTTGGTCATGGGAGTTCTGTGTGCCAGGTTTGTTTCAGTTTTATTGTTTCATTGTTAGTGGAGTTCCGAATGCTCTTTGATTGTAGGTGAGCTATAAACCACAGCAACTACAACTCCCAAATGACAAAATCAATCCTCCCCCAATCCCACCAGTATCGGATATTTGTTCCAAATTTGGTTCAGTAAATGAAAATACATCCTGCATGTCAGATATTTGCATTACGATTCATAACAGTAGCAAAATTACAGTTATGAAGTAGCAACACAAATAATTGTATGTTTGAGGGTCGCCACAACATGAGGAATTGCATTAAGGGGGTCATGGCATTGGGAAGGTTGAGAACCACTGATCTAAAGAAAGATGTACTGCTTGTGTTCTAGATGTTTATATATTAGTTGGTGTCCTATTCTATCATGTAACTCATTTTTGCCTTTCTTTCCTTTGCAGACATGACATTCACCCATGAAGGGAACAAGACATTCATTGACAGTCTAGTGAATTTTGAAAAAATGGTAGGTAAAGTGTATGTAAGTAAATGGCTTTAAAAGGATACATTTTGGTGGCTTAACTCAACTGGTGGTGGGTCTTGTAATCCAATGGATCTGAAGAAAAGTCGGACAGGAAATGCTACTCTGTAAGGATCTGAGCACTGGATGTCTTCGACATTGTTCTGACATCAGTGTTGAAATATATTAATATCCCTTTGATTTGGGGATATGGATTTCTCTGATTTGCATACCAAAGGGACTCAGTAGCAGCCAGGCATCCAGGCAGAAAGCTTTCAGATTGGAAATTATGGCAGAGTTGCAGCAAGAAGACTCTCACTCTTTTGTTGAAAGTGAGCCAGTAATTTAACTCCACAGATCCAGGATAACGTGTCTTAGACACTTACCTCCAGGTTAGTTTAATTCCTCAAATGCAGACAAATGAAGCAACGGCATGCTCTCTCTTGTAATGATTATTTATCTCTAATTTTTCTCAGAAGCCAGTTTTCTTGGCAGACACCTTCCAACCGTTGGATAATAGAGCTTCCTAGAATATCTTGCTATCTTAGAAAAGTGATTTTTCTGGCTATCTCTCAAAGTATCACAAAAAATGATCTGTTTTCCTATTTAAAAATGTGTTAATTCTTGCTCATCCCACCTGTTCTTTAAATAAGCCTCTAGAGGGCAAACTCCCACGTACCAAATCACTGGATGGTAATGAGATGTTGGCAGCAATTGGAGCTGCTTTTAACACCCAAGTAGAAAGTATTCTGATTTTGCAAATGGATTTGGCACAGAACGTCGAGCAGCCAGAGGTAGTTCTGGAAGAATGTTAAGAATGTATACACTCGTCCTCTGATATCAAAGTCTTTTCCCCTGAAGTTTTAACTCTCTCTCCACAGCAGTGGTAGATATTATTATATATTATACAGAGAGGCTGGTGTCTTTACACCTATGTAAATTCTCTTCCATACTGACCAGGAGGGAAGGGAAGGGGAAGGTAGGAAGAATCCTTAGCCTGGAAAACTACGGGATGTGAAGAGAAGAATTTTAGCCGGGTTTCACTTGTAATAGGCAAACTTCACAGAGAAAACATTTTCTTAACAAATGGGCCACCATATTAGCCACAATGTGCAATTTGAAATGGTACATTTGAGACAGCAATTGATTTCTCTCCCACATCTTCTCTTTGGAAGCTCAAATCCAGCCAACCCTAATTTCCTCAATGAAGTCACTCTTTTCCTTGCTCTTTTCATTGTCTCATTCGGTGAGGCTGTAATTCATTCTGCTTTTACACTGGTGGAATATGGAGGAGGAGCTAAACAGGCAAAAATATTATCACTTGAACTTACGTTAAGGGCTACTTAGTTCAAAAAGAAGTTACCCTGGATCTTTAATACCTGTTCTCAGGAAATTATCATAGCAGGACAGCTTTAGAAAATCCCCTTCTAAACAAGCCTGAAAACATATAAGATGCTCATCCCTTTTGCTTTTTTCTCTTTTGATCTGGCAACTAGCATTCTGTTGCCAACGAGCTGCGGTGGCACAATGAGTTAAACCCTTGTGCCGGTTGAATTGCAGACCTGAAGTCCGTTGTTTGAATCCACGAGACAGCGTGAGCTCTTGTCCTTCAGCCCCAGCTTCGCATGTGGAGACATAAGAGAAGCCTCCCACAGGATGGTAACACATCCGGGCATCCCCGGGCAACATCCTTGAAGACAGCCAATTCTCTCACACCAGAAACAGCTTGCAGTATATTCTCAATTCACTTCAGACACTAAAAAAATTCTGATGCCATCCTTTCCAGTCATAACCTGTTTGGCCAGTTCCTTTAATTTAGCCCTTCACAAATTCTGAATCTAGGGATGAATTGTAGCTACAGTTCTGTATTTTGTGTCTGGATTGATAAATCAATATCAGTTAGCAGCAAACAAGTGAGTAACTAAAGATGTACAGCTGGAAAGTATATGTGCATTGCTTGGCCAATCATTGAATTCTGAATTCATTGAGGGCTAGCATATATATGCGGTCATCTGATTTTGATAACATTATTCTTTTTTATTCAGAGCTTGGAAAAATCACTTTTGGGGACCCCAACTCTTAGAATCCCCCAGACAAGATGGCTTGAGGGAGTTATGCACCAAAGAACGTAATTGTTCTAGTTGTTTTACTGTTTCTCTTTTATTTTTATCAGGCATGGAAAACTAGCAGCCACCCCCGAGCCTTAAATTGGATTCCCCATGCTTGACCTGACCCTCGTACCATCATATTCTTCCACTGCTTATTCCACTCTGAATCCAAACACTTTGTTCATTTCCAGCTGTCACTAGAAGTGAGGAAAGAACAATCCATTATCAGGGAATGAGAAGCAGTGAAGGGTTTTTCCTCCCTCCCAGCAAGGAATGTGGGTCCTTGGAGCATGTGCACAAGTGTGCATGCATATGCATATGGTGCACATCCCCCAACAAGCTATAGTGTATGCCAGTCCTTGAGGCCTAAAAACCTTTTGGCAACCAACTTCAATTTTGTTGATTGCCTTTTTGCCTTAAAGGTAGCATATGACCCTTCAATTATTTAATAAATAATAGCCAGAAAACTCTTTTTACAAGAGTGGTTGCTATATTTGTTGTTACTATTTGCCATCAAATCACCTTCCATTTACAGCACACTATGAATGAAAGACCTTAAAAGCCACAGATATCAATACTCATGGTCAGGTCTTTGCAAGCACATGGCCCCTTTTCTTACTGCCTCCCACTTTTGTTGTTGTTTATTCATTTGGTCACTTCCGACTCTTTGTGACCTCATCGACCAGTTCACGCCAGAGCTCCCCCAGCTCCTTCAAGGTCAAGCCAGTCACTTCAAGGATACCATCCATCCATCTTGCCCTTGCTCAGCCCCTCATCCTTTTTCCTTCCATTTTCCCCAGCATCATTGTCTTCTCCAGGCTTTCCTGTCTTCTCATTATGTGGCCAAAGTACTTCATCTTTGCCTGTAATATCCTTCCCTCCAATGAGCAGTTGGGCTTTATTTCCTGGAGTATGGACTAGTTGGATCTTCTTGCGGTCCAAGGCACTCTCAGAATTTTCCTCTAGCACCACATTTCAAAAATGTCTATCTTCCTTCGCTCAGTCTTCCTTTTGGTCCAGCTCTAGCATCCATAGGTTACTATGGCTAATACCATTGCTTTTACTATGCAAAACTTCATTGCCAGTGTGATGCCAGCCTACCACTTTACAGAGCATTATTCACTTTTCCCGTGAGTCATGACATCTCATAATGTGTCCAAAGTAGGACAAGAGGCCTGGTTTCAGCCTCTGTTCACACATACCTCTGAAAGGTATTGAACCAGGCTCTTTACACATCCGAGCATGGTATTAGATGGAGAAAATAATGCCAGAAGAGGAATACAGTGAGTTTAAATAGTTGGTACTGCAGAAAGAGCTGCATGTCATCTATGCCTTGTCACGTGTGTGTGGACAAGATCGAACGCTGCTGGCTAGCATTTTACTGAAAATTTTTATCCATGAAAAACTGGTGATTTTGACTTCTGAGGAGAGTTCAGATTTTATTTGGTCTCAGACACATTTATTTGTTCTTTTGGCCCCATGCTTCAAATGACTTAATTTCCTTGTTGGCTTTCTTCACCGACAGCCATATATAGAAAGAAGAAATGCCATGGCATTGATGTTTGTGACTTTGGGACTGAATGATATATCCATACTCTTGGGGATCTTACCTGATTATATGAAAATATTTTCACTATTTCCATGTCTTCATCTACTACTTTAAAGTTATGGAAATCACCGATGGTCATTTCTTTCTGTTTTCTTAATATTCAACTGTAATCCTACTTGGTAAATCATCTATATAGATTAATGAGATGTGGGGGAACATATAAAAGCAACGTTCCTTGAATCGATACATGGAGGGAAGAGCTGCATTGCAACTGGCAGCATCTCTCTCCCTTTCTTTGTATCTTTCACTGTGGTGCTTTTTTGGAGTATCTGCCTGTAGTACTTGCCGAAAACAGCTACAAAGCCCTTCCAAGGCACTTCTGCAATGCAAGTTTCCCCATCCATAGCAGTACAAAATAGTACCATCAACCACGGGTTCCTCTTTTTACTGAGACTCTTCACCCTTGAGGTGTGAAATGAGGATTAGCAAATGTGTGCATATTGGTTTTCAGGTTTTATGGATCCGAACAAAAGGAATTCACGCAGTGATCCTTATGGGAGGGGGAAAGACGGGGCAAACATTCTTTCAGAGGGTTTTTTGGAACATAAAGATTATGCAAAAAGTATGCGACTTAAAACCCTTAGTCGTTTTTTTTGTTATAGTGTGTATGAATATTCATAGTAATATTGAAGCCTGGTCTAGGAATGGATTAGCAGATAATGTGCTGGCCGCTTGCCGCACTATTCTAGGCTGCATGCAACCTGAATTGGAACGGCAACTTGCATATGAGAAGGAAGCCAGAGGCGCAGGGCGGTGGGGTGGGGAGGAGGAGGATCCCAGAGTGTATCCATTGTGTTGTGGGGCTGGTTCTATTTTTGTAAGATCCATATTTAGCATTATATTGCTTTCCAGTAATAGACTTCCAAAGCACACAGGCTCAATTGGGTGGGAGTAGGGGTGGTAGGATTCAGTGTCACACAGACAAACAGTTGGGCTGTCCTTAGTGATTTTTTTCTCCTCTCTCTCTCTCTCTCCCCCTCTCTCTCTCCCTCTCTCTCTTTCTTCGTCTCCCTGTTTGCTGCACCCTTTCTTTTTCTTTATGCTTTTGAAGAATAAAAATAGAAAACCATGGTTACCAAGTGAAACAATATCGAGGTCAGCTTCAGAGCCAAAAATACAGATTGAGCCTCAAAAAAGGAAAACATGGACAAAGAGTTGTTTATGTTGATTATGCCTTGAAGTGCTTGAGGCACATGTACTGAACGCCTGATCAGTATGAGAGGAAGGAATAACTGATAATGTTTTTTTACAGTAGAGTTTTAAAATTAGGATTACTGAACGCAATGGAAGTTAAGTTGGTTATGACTAACTTAAGTCTCATTGTGTTTCATGTCCCTACTTTAAGTATTGCTTAAGTCTGAATCTAAACCAATATCTTCTGTTAAGTGCCACGGGGATGTATATTTGGACTTCTCTTCCCAGTTATTTGAATTCTGCATAGTTCCAAAAACATTGTTTCACACTGAAGAGTATATTAAACACAGAGTTTGGTTTGCTTTCACATAAAGGGGATTAAACAAATGATGGATCTTGAGCATCCATGGATTTTGGTATCCATCGGGAGGTGAGTGTTCCTGGAATCAAATTCCGGTAGATACTGAAGTCCCGCTGTGCAGATTTTTTTTTTGTCATGTCAGGAACAACTTGAGAAATTGTAAGTCACTTCTGTTGTGAGAGAATTGGCCATCTGCAAGGACATTGTCCAGGGGACGCCCAGATGTTTTGATATTTTACCATCCTTGTGGGAGGGTTCTTACAAGTTCATGCATGGGGAGCTGGAGCTGATAGAGGGAGCTCATCCACGCTCTCCCCGGATTCGAACCTGTGACCTGTTGGTCTTCAGTCCTGCCGGCACAGGATCTTAACCCACTGTGCCACCGGGGGCTCCTAGGCTGTGCAGGGTGAAATCACCAGACAGATCAGGGAAACAGTCCAGCCTAAAACCTTCTTCTTAGCAGTGCTTTCTTATGACTGTTTTAATCACTGTTGATGAGGATAATTTATACGGATTTTCTCTCTCTCTTTTTATAGCGCATGATTTCAAACACAGTTAGGACAGTGAAATTCTGCCGGAGCCAACCTTTTAGTAAGTATTGAAATAAGTATATCACCATTACTATAATTTTCTATCTCTATCTAACATCTGAGCTATAGCTAGGAGCACAATCTAGAATTATTAAATAGAACAGTGGTTTCCAATCATTCCTAACACATGGTCAAACTGCTGGGATTTCTGGGTGTTGAAGCCCAAAATAGCTGAAGGAGCAAAGACTGGGAACCATTGTACTAAAGGCACAATCTAATCCCACCGAAAGCAGCTTTTGCGGTACTGTGGCATCTTGGAATCATAGAGCTGGAAGAGACCTCATGGGCCATCCAGTCCAACCCCCTGCCAAGAAGCAGGAAAATAGCATTCAAAGCACCCCCACCAGTTGGCCATCCAGCCTCTGTTTCAAAGCCTCCAAAGAAGGAGCCCCCACCACACTGCGAGGCAGAGAGTTCCACTGCTGAACAGCTCTCACAGTTAGGAAGCTCTTCTTCGTGTTCAGGTGGAATCTCCTTTCCTATAGTTTGAAGCCATTGTTCCATGTCCTAGTCTCCAGGGCAGCAGAAAACAAGCTTGATACTGCAATGAAGGTACAGCTTGGGGACTCCTTTTAATCAAACTGTCAATATTTATTTATAACATAACCTGCCATGTAGAATACATATAGCTACTATTCTACAGTGAAAATAAGGTAAATAAAACATTCGGTTGTGGGGCCTCTGGCTCTGGAACTCCCTTCCTACAGAAATTAGGCGAGCCCCCACACTGTCCTCCTTCCATAGGGACCTGAAAACCTGTATGTTCCAGCAGGTTTTGGAGAATGATTAGACCCTAGGCCCATCCCTTGCCCATCAGCTAAGACCCTGCTCTACACTTTATCCGCTTCCCTGGCCATATGTTACTCTGTTGCACTAGCCCTTGCCCAGCCCTTTCATAGTTGGCCATGGTCATTTTGTAATTCTGGCCATTGGTATTTTGAACCTGTCTGATAGAGTTATAATGAAACTCGTTTTTAAATTTGTGTGTTTGTTTTAGCAGGATTTTATGTTTATGTTTTAATTTATTTGTATGGTTTTCCTTTCGGTCAATTGACTGTTTTGCCTGATGTTGGAATACCACCCTGAGCCCTCTTGGGGAGATAGGGTGGTATATAAATATATTATTTTTATTTTTTATTTTATTATTTTTATTATTATATTTTTATTCAAATGCGGTAAAAGTAGCTATATGGGTATGTAGATGTATGGTCCTTGCAAATTTTGCTCAACTTTTCAGTTTGACTAAGTGTAACAATGGAACATCATTTCTGTTTCTACAGGTCCTGATGCTTCTCTGGCAAACAAGAACCACCAGGACGTCCGGAATTATGTACGGCAATTAAGTGTGATTGACAACCAGAGGACTTTATCACAGATGTCACACCGGCTAGAACCACGGCGTGCTTAAGCAGTTCCAAGTGATCACACCTCCCTTTTTGTCCCCTGTACAAGGCCATTTGTTAAGAAGGCCACCTCTTCCTCCTACTGCACTGCCACTACAAATATAAGCAACAACAGAGTGTGAGATCTTTGGTAATTAACGCACAACCTACCTGCTGTCCCTATGAAACAACAGAGGAGATTGGCTGTTGAAGATGTCAGATGTTGTAGCTGGAAGGTTCCTGGTGTTGTATGCTGTTAGTTAAGTCTGGAAAAAAATGTTGTACAGAATAGAAATCTTTATTTAAAGAGAGAAAGAGAAAATGCTCTGGATCCTGGTAAGAAGACAATGTAAAACTTCTGCCGCTTCCAAAGAATATATGGACCGGTTCTGTTACCTGATCAGATTAATTGCAGTATTTTAAATCTATTATTAAATTGACATGCAGATTTTGCCATTGATTTTGCATGTTTAGCTCAGATGAGCTTCTGTAGGAAATTTAAATAAAATACCTAATGGCAGAAAACAGGTACAGTTACTTACTACTATGGTTTTGACATTCAGAGAACAGTCAAAAGCCTTTCCCTGCAAGAGAGGTATATTTTTGAAAAACCACATTTGCCTTACAGCAGTAGAGCATTGTGGCCCCACAATAACCCTAGGAAATACTAGTTTTCTAAGACCTAGGTACATCATTTGTTTACATTTCACTTATTTTTATGTGTGTGTGTTTTTAACTGCCAATCAGGATTTTACAGGATGAAAAGTCAAGGATAATAAAGTTTTCTGAACAAAGCATTAAAAGCAGCAAAAAAACAACCCCACAACCACAACTTGTATTATTTTTTTTAAAACCCACAAAAGAGCACAATAGGCACAATTTATTTCAAGGTAATATTTTACTGGATGCTGAAACCTCCAACGTCAGCTACACTTTGGGCTGATCAGGTCGTATTTTCTGGATCTGAAACTTTACGAAAAAAATCTTCTAATTTTCAGGAATAATTTTGCACTTTTAAATGGGCAGTATACAGAAACGTTAATTCATTGTGGGAGTTAATTTATTTCTTTATATGTTAGTCATTGTGCCATAATAATAACTTTTTATCTATTTTATTTAGCATGTAATGGAAGTACGGTTTTATCTTTGTATTTAGTCCACGTTTCATGCCTATGAGGAGCGTGTTATATGTTTTGTGTAAATAAGATGCACTGTCTTCATTAAAAGTAACTGCCAACTAAAGCAGTTTGCTGTCCTTTTTCAATATGGCAACATGAACCTTAATCTATTGCTATAGTTACTATCTTTTTGGTAACTGTAAACTGTAGACTTTGCTACTGAATGTTCAAGTAGTTTCCTCTCCTGTTAATGAATGTGTCTGAAATTGATTATCACAATTACAAATATGTAACCTAGAGTTACACTTTCTTAATTGGTTTGTATTCATGATTCCTATATATTCAATTGTCTGGGGAACACATATAGATCATAAAAATCCCACAATCCAGATTTATTGGGCAAATCTAAAATCCTATTATTATTTTCTTCATTGATATTCTTCCTTCTTCTCAAGAATATGATTCAAGGTGTTGCACTCCAGACCTGGAGCCACCCATGACCATAGCACCACACAAGAGTCCAGGGTATAAGCAAACAGTTTATTGTAAAAACACATAAAATATAAGAAAGAAACAGAAAGTAAGGAAAGGAGAGGTATAATCCAAACAAAGTTTAGCAATAGATTATACGTAATACCATATATTACGTGGTATGCATAGAAATAAATGTGTGCAATTTGTTATGTAAGCTACAAAAAATGAACAAACCAAACCTGAAAAGGATAAAATTCTCAAAATTTCAGTCACAGCGCTTTATTTCAGACATAACATACCCTCAAAAGAAGAGAGCTGAAATTGACAGACTTGACCACCATTAAGAGAAAGCAACTGGGTTAAAGAAGATTGTCATCTGACACTATTTAGTGATAATCTCCAATGATGTCTGTGTTTCCTCTGTAATGGTATTAATTGTAGATGCATAAATAATCTAGGAACACAGCTGGTGTGCAGGAATTTATAAATGATGAAACTAATGCTGTTTTTGAAACAACGTTATTCTCCTCTGTGCTACTCAAGCCACCCCCCACGGTCTCAGAGGAGCTAGATGTTGATGATAAAATAAACAGTTCAAATTAACACTTGTAACCACTGATATCCCCCTCATTAGATTTTATGTCAACATCACCTATCAAACATCAGGACAATTTACATTTGTTAAAGCAAATTTAAAATGCATTTAAAGAGAAAGAGAGCGAATAAGATCAAGATCTGTTTTGCACTGAAAAAAGTACCTTTTGCCATTGGCAGTGAAAGAAAATCGATGAAATATGAATGAGATAGTGAAGAACAAGGCTGGAATACTGTTTGGTCTTTTTGACTTCATGAATGGACATATGTCTACAGGAATTACAGTTGGGCTGTTCTGTAATGCCTGTGCCCAGTAAAGGATTGCCTTGATATTACTACACGCAATGGGACCAATGTACAACAATATCAATGCACAGTGGTATACATCTTGGATCAGTCCTGCTGTACCTTGCATCAGTCCCAATGTGCATTGGGAACTCTTACTGGTATGCTTGTTATGCATTTATTTAGTTCAGTGAAAGGGGCTTTAGTGGCTTGGCTACATAGATTTGTTTGTTTGTTTGTTGCAATAAGGCAGTGATAGGACACTTTACCCTGCCAACTGGAGTCAATGTGAATGATTTGAGACAGTTTTAACAGTTGATTCTAATGTGGGATAATTGATTTTAATGTTTATGTTTGTTTATAGTTTATTTATGTTCCGGCATTGAATGTTTGCCGTATATATGTTGTGCTCTGCCCTGAGTCCCCTTCAGAATGAGAAGGGTGGAATATAAATATTTTGAATAAATAAATAAATGTAAAAGCAGTATATAACACATCTAAATCAGTAACATATACCTATGAATTGAAACCATTAAAAAACTATCAAACATGGATATAAAACATGTTAGACATTTTAGCCATTGCACCAGTCCTGTGGTTGTCACTTACCTACTTCGGTAGTTCTATTACTCTCTGAATGCCTGCTTGCATAGCCAGGTTTTGAGTTGTTTACTGAACACCAGGAAGGAGGGGACCGATCTAATCTCTTTGGGGAAGGAGTTCCACAGCCAAGGGGCCACCACCGAGAAGGTCCTGTCTCTTGTTCCCACCAGTCGCATCAGTGAAGTGGCAGAACCGAAAGCAGGACCTCCCTGGCTGATCTTAGCATTATGCAATGTACCAGGTCAAATAAGATTCCTGTGGACATCTATTGAGTATACTGAAATTACACACTTTTTGTAATTGTTACCTGGGCATACTGTCACAAACCAATATGATGCTGTCCACCATGCAGTGAACTGTACTATGTTGACCATTCAGGCTCCTCATTTGTCTGCTCCATCCCCAACTCTGGAACAGGAATCAGATGCACATCACGAAATAGTCAACTGTGTCTAGTGATAATGGGTTTTCCGGATGTTTTTGTATCAGATTATTCCCTATTGCTTTGATTTGATGAAGGCTAGATCTAACACATTTTATGTTTACATAGATAAAAGATCTGAATACTGTCCTCTAATAGCCCACAGCATCTGAATTATACTAAGGGAACCAATAAAAGCTGCTCATCCTACCTGCAGAATGTGGAGAGATATAGGTCTCTGATTTCCTTGGTGGTAGTTTTTTGATCAAATGGAAGATGAAACCTCCCGGAGAGACACCTCCACTTTTAAATACATTGCATGCACACACACATATAAAAGTTAAACATAAAAAGAATGATACATCTTTGAAAATCAAAATTGGACTGCTGACCACTTTCCCTTTTTGTTTGCAGCTCTTCTTCTGTTTTATTTAGTTGCATTTTTTGGCAATATCCTCTGCTGACCTTGGAGCCCCAGCATCAGGGAGGCAAGTGGTGTGAGAGGCAGAGGCTGCAATGGAAGAGCTGAGATTGGAGCTTTCTCCCAAGCTGCAGAGAAAGAGAGCTAACGTTGCTCAATGCTTGTGGGATGTCCTCTCGAGGAGGGATTGCAGTTCCTATGCTATATATAACCAGCTTCAAAGCTTGGAGACGATTTTCAGTGGTCTATTTGTAAATATTTTAAAAGACAGATATGAAGGCCCTGAAAGCTCTTAATATACTAATTTTAGCATGCTTGAATAAGCATGCTTCTTAGGAAAAGTCATCAGAAATAAACAAATTATATTTTGGTCTGGCTGCTGGCATAGGAGACTCTTTGCTGGAATGCAAAGAGTCTCCTTATATAGCATGGCTTTAAATACTGAAAGAGATACGTGTAACTGTCCAGATGTGTTGGCTTACAACTCTGACCAGCATAGTCACCTGGCTGAGGTCATCCATTCATTAGGGTGACCGAGGCAGACCAAAACCAGGCCTAAAGCTGAACTGAAGTTCATCTAAAAAGTCACTTTCATCCAAGAGTGCTTGCAGATACATACACATTAAACTTCAGAGCACTTTTTTCAGGTACAAACAAATTAGTAAACTGACTGACATTTATTTATTTACAACATTTATATGCCGTCCTTCTCACCCCAAAGGGGACTCAGAGTGGCTTACAAGATATATATACATACAATATATTATACTATTAGCATAGTGCAATATCAGTATTATATATTACTATATTGTACTATGCCATTATATTGTAATATTATTAGTAATATTACATGTAATATAAATATATATATATATAAATATAATATATTATTAGTAGTACTATTATTGTGATGGCACGCCGGGGTAGAAGAAAAACTATATGTCTGGTTATTCCTGGTGGCTATCGGTATACCCTCTGATGTACTTCAGTTCCTTAAAAATAAAGACTCTTGAGACAGGATTAAAGTTAACCAAATAAGTTTACTGGAAACAAAAGGCAAAGTTAACTTCAGTCAGAGTTCTTGAAAGGCGAATCAAAATAAAATATTACAAAGACGAAGTTTGTTGATTGAATTTGGTTACACTGGTAATAAACACTTGACTATATTCGTAGAATATAAGGTAAAATATTTGACTATAATTGTGGTAAGTCACTTGGTAAAATACTTGGTTATATTGGCTACAGTAAGGTAATTGGCTATTGATATAAAAGAACTAAAATAACAACTAAATGGTAAAGGTACAAGCTATACTGATATAAGGTAAATACACAGCTATGATGATCATTCTAGCTATGCTGATGGTATAATATCAGCTATGGTGACTGTGAGATATATACAGCTATGAAGGTCTATAAGGTATATACTATAATGGTGGGAAATAGAGGGAGAAACGTGGAGGCAGKGACAGACTTTGTATTTCTAGGTGCAAAGATTACTGCAGACACAGACTGCAGTCAGGAAATCTGGAGACGCTTACTTCTTGGGAGGAGAGCAATGACCAATCTTGATAAAATAGTGAAGAGTAGAGACATCACACTGGCAACAAATATCCGCATAGTTAAAGCAATGGTATTCCCCATAGTCACCTATGGATGTGAGAGCTGGACCATAGGGAAGGCTGAGCGATGGAAGATAGATGCTTTTGAACTGTAGTGTTGGAGGAAAGTTCTGAGAGTGCCTTGGACCACCAGAAGATCCAACCATTTGTTATGCTTACAATAATAAGTGCCCCTGCAAATAGTCCCAGGAATAGAAAGGGGAGCCTCATAAGTTCCCCTTCATATTTTTTGGGTGAGGACCAAAAAAAGGCTATCTGACTACCTGCCCGTTTTTGGGAGGTGTACGAAAATGAACAGGGGGTCTACCGGAATCCAGCCAGCAGAAACAGATCAAGGTTCAGTTGAATTGCACAAGCCAATTTTCTACTATTAGATTCATTTTTGCAGAACTAGAAGCAAGCAAAGATAAGATTTACCCAGTCCTATAGATCTGAACAACAAGAGAAATGGTCCAGGTAAAATACTGCATTGGGAAATATAAGATGCGACCTCCTGCTGGGCTCTTACAATGAAAGGAGATAAAAAGGCGCAACAAAATAATTCACTCATCTGAATAGGGAAAAGGCCAGACAATTCTCTGCAAGTAAAGTAACTTTTAATATAATTTTAATGCTATTTAAAAAATATATAACAAAACAAGTTAAGAGAAAATCGGAGGGTTTAACCTGCAGGGGTACCCAGAAGAGATAATGAGTTTTGCTATGAA